AGTTTTGAAAACAGAAAATTTGTTTGGTTATGAGTTTAAAAAGAATTATGAAAGTGTTTTGAAAAAAGTTTTTGAAATCTCAATTTTGAATTTTAAAAAAAGTTTTGAGTTGTATTTTGAGTTTAGAGTTTTTGAATTTTGAATTGTATTTTGAAATTTTTTGAATTTATTTTTTTAGGGTAAATATTTTATATTTTAAATATTTATTTATTTATTTTAAATTTTCTTTTCTAATTAACTATATTCTAATATAGTAATTAATATTTTCAAGTGTAGTAGATAAAAGAAAATAAAAACTGTACATGTATTCATTTATTACCATTAATAAATGAGAGGTCTTTCTAAGTTATTTTATTATATTTTATTTTTAATTTATGCTTTACAATATTTTAGATATTAAAAAAATATTATGAAGAAAAGTTATGAATTTGGTCTACCACTATTTTGAAATTGGGCTGAGAATTATCTAATTAATTCTACAATTATGCTATAAGGTCTTCAAGCTGTTGTATGGCTAACTTTAAGACTTCTTGTTTTACAGTTAGCTGTCTATTTATTTGAGAAATTTTTAAACTGTAATTTTCTAGGGATCTGCCAGAGGCTAATGATAAAAAAAACTGATATTTAAATTTTTGATCTTCTAATTCTTGTATAAGTTCAGTACTAATTTTGATTTTAATCCTAAGTTCTTCGTCTAAAGGCATACAATTTTGATTTTTTCAAATTCCTTTATGGACAATATTTCCTTAATATTTCTACTCGGGTTGCTCTTCTTTTATTCTAAAATTCTTTTCTATGGCAAAACTATTTTTAGGCAATGTTTGTTTTCATTACATGTACTCCTACCTTGAAGCTAAGCCTCGTTCAACATAGTATATTTTTATTTTTCATTTTTTACCTTTCCCTTTCTACCTACAATCTGCCCTTCAACGCCTAACCACGGCTCACGCGGGCTCTTCAGCTAAGGTTACTCAGTAACAAAATAGAAAACAGCAGATACTACGAAGGTTTAAAGCATGTAATATTAATGAGCAAACAAGCATTCCATAAACTTAGTTTTTCCAAAAAGAAAATAAATTTTTAGAATAGTAGAGTTACCCTTTTGAAATATTTAAGGAAAAAGTGAAACTACTCACACTTCATATTAATAAGAAATATACTTACAAAGATTATATTACAGACTCTGAAATTCTGAAAGACTTAATACACTTAGAGGTTTTTTAGAGGGGTTAGAAATTTTACAACGCAAAGTGAAGGGGTGTTTTTCATTCTGCCTCTTCCGGTGACAAGCATGCCAATTTATACAACTCAAAAAGAAAATAAAAACAAAGCTTCAAATATTTGCCTACGTTTAAATTATCCTAAGGAGTCAAAACCTATTCTAGCCTATACTTAGGCTTTTTTGAAAATTGAATAAGGACAAGGCTATATATATATACATTTATATGCAACTTTATGCAAACTTTCTACGCTTAACTCAATCACTATTCTAGACATAGATAAATTTTATCAATAAAGGATTAGAATAATGATATCGGGTACTATTTTGGGCCCCATTGCATATCATTCAATCCTCATTTTTTGACAAAATTTTGACACTATAATTTATTACAAGACACGTATAAAGATTTTCACAGCTTTTCTTTAATAAAGCAGGGTAGGAGTTATCCATACTTTATTAAAGTAGTGAGTGAAGAAAAATCCTTATCACTGACAGACTCAAATAATTACAGACAAAATATCTACAAAATCTTTTTTGTCTTTTCTTGGCGTGCATTTTTTTGATATTCGAGGAGAAGCTTTACCTTCTACGGATTTTGTCTTTTTCTGCTGGAGCGCCAATTATTGATGCTGACCCATGGAGTGATGCTTCTAGGCGGGTTCTTGAAGGATTTGCAAAATTTAAAGAGTCAAGATCGTGGAACCATTAGAATATATTAGAATATTTTTTAAAATATTATAGGAGTCTTGTAGTGGGAACTCCTGTTTTTTTTTTTTTTACCCATACATTCTGTTTGCGAGGTCGTCCAGGTCTGCTGTTGAGAGTTGGTCGTAAAAGTCATCCCCCATCTCCCATAGGTGGTTCATCGTACCATTCTTGATCATTTTCTCCCATTACCGGTGATTCATGAGAGACGCCATGCTGATAGTTAGGGTATTGACTTTCATCGACAAATTTCTCTTTGCTGAATGGATATCCTGGGATGGCTAAATTATAATGTATCTTCTGATGTCTATCTTCACAGACTAGATGTCCATAATTTCCATTATATGCTAATAGAGAGTTGCTAGCAAATTTTCTCCATTTATTGAGCTGGTCTTTGAGTGGAAATCTTCTGCATGGCCAGGGTCTCCTATTGAGAAGTCCTGGGTATCCTGGGAATGTAGAGTTTCCTCTGAGGTACATTTTGTGTTTAGCTGGATTACACCATATTCCCTTCCACTCTGGTAGTCTACTATCTATCAATGCTTCTACATACGGATGATGTTTTTTCATTACACACAGTGCTGCATGAGCAAGCTTATGTCCAAAACTATCTGTCTGATCTGGATCTGTGAAAATTAGTCTGGAGACAAAGCCGTAATCTAACAATTTTGGGGCTGTTAGATAACGAATTTCGCCCCTAATTTCTATCTCCAATGGCTCAAAAGTAGCTAGATTTATCTAGCAAAGGCAAATGCTGAAGTCTAGGTTACACTGACATCTACTAAAATGTTCTGACCTCTTATTGCATTTTTCTTCGTCTAAGCAGGGCTGCTCTTCATCTTCATAGGTATAGGTCCATTGATAAGCTAGGCCGGGGCAGTCAACTCTTGCTATGGAGAGGTTCTGAAGAAATTGCTGAATAATGACTAGCTCGCTATTTCTGCTATCTTCAGCTAAGGTGTAATTATAGGGTTTTAGGTCTTTTATTGCTTGGCTTTTCTCACAAAGAGATCGAATGATAGAATTCCTAAAGAAATACATTCTAGCACTCAATTGATCAAATTCCTCACTGGTGAGTTGTTTGATTTCTGGGCTAGGTAAGGAGGTAGGTGTTCATTCTGGAGCTAATTTTTTAAGCTGGTTGGTTAAGATTCGAACGGTTGCTCTCAATTGTTTTTCTTTGTCTTGGAGTATTATATTTTATTTTTAATTTATGCTTTACAATATTTTAGATATTAAAAAAAATATTATGAAGAAAAGTTATGAATTTTTTTGAAGAAAAAATATTTCATTATGGATATTAAATTGATAAAAAAATTATGAATTTATAAAAGTTTCGAAAAGATTTTTTTACAATAAATTCATATATTGCTTTTATATAAAGCATACAAAATTTATTATATATTGCTTTTATTTAAAACATACAAAATTTATAAGTAATAAATAAAAATAACCTTCTAAAAAAAAGTAACAAATAAAAATATGAATATCAAAAACTTAAATAGTAATTACTATTTTGAGGTGTTTTAGGTAAGAAAAAAGAGTAACTATTTAAATTAATATTTTTAAAAATAAGTTTAAATAACTTCCAATTTAAAAATATTTTGTTTACAAAAATTTTCTCTTTCATTTATTTTTAATATTATATTAAAAATTAAAATTTCACAATAATGACTATTTTAAAAAATTAGTAAATTTTAACAAATTTTAATAAATTAATATTTACATATCATATTTTACTTTTTACAAATCATAACAAGACAAAAATATAAGAGAGAAATAATTAAAAATGGTGTGTCATTAGTTTTATATATTTAAAATTAATTTAAAATGCAAAAGATGATACAATTTTTAAGAAATGAAGGTAACTTGTGTCGCATGTAATATTTTAAATAGTAAGTCTATTAATAATAAAATAATAAGTGACTGGATACCAAATAATAAGGTCAAGTTTGGCTAAACTAAAAAAGTGCACTTATTTCATCTTTTTATCCTTTTTGGATCACATCAATCAACATCTCCTCTCTATTTTTTCTACACATAATGCAAGAAAAGTTAAAAAGTACACTTATTTAGTCTTCCCAAACTTGGCCTAAGTATGTTTGTAGCAAATAATAAGTTAGTATCATTTTTTTATTTCAAAATTAACTAAAATTATTTTATTTTTTTAAATACTACCTTACTTTTTCTATCTAGTTTGCTATTTACTTATCCAATGACCAATGACTAATATTCATCTTATCTAAATTTAATGATTCATATTTTTTTTTTTTAATTTACATACATGAAAGCCACTCTAACTTAGGGAAATTCTAATATACACATCTTTGAAAAATATGTATTATATGCACTCTACTTATGTCATTTTTTTCTTTAATTATGATTAATTTTTTTTAATTATGACTCGTTAATTTGTAGTTATCTTATATAACATTTAATTATGAAATATAAAATTATACCTTTTTTTAATTATAAGATATATGTAATAATACACATGATTTGAAGGTGTGCACCATTATTTTCGTTTAGAAAAATGAGTGACAACACTAATTAGTGATATCACTAATGATATAATCTACTGTCATAGTACTATTGTGCTTTTTTTTTTTTTTTTTTTATAAATAAATGTCAACTATTAGTGTTAATTTAAAACATCAGTCTCTATCATATCATTGCTGTTCCGTCTAACGTATGGTACAATTTCCCTTGAGTTTTGACCTTACAAACCCTTGAATGTGGTGTGTGTATGTTTTTTTATTTGACGTAAGCGGTGACGTAGCCGACGGCTACTACTCCAATTTGTTTATTGTGACAAAAGTATAATTCCCAACTCTTCTCTCTTTGGAGGGAGCTTATATTTACACGTCCACCTTTTTTTTCTTTGCACATATTATATAAAAATTATTTTTATTATAATTTTTTTTAAATAAAATTATTATTATAGACATCAAATAAACACATTTGAAAAGTTAAATGTCGAAAAAATAATAAAAATTCGAAAATTTATTTCTGAATCAATTATTTATTTTTAAAAAATTACTTCTGAACTAATTATTTATTTTTAAAAATCTATTATCGAACTAATTATTTATTAAAAAGTATGTGTAAAGAGGGGAATGAATTTGTGTAAATAGAAGTTCCCCTCTTAGGAGTATTCCTAACTCCTATTATTCGTAGATTTCAAAGGCAGAGCAACGAGTCGGACACACTCTGTTTCGTCAAGAAGGTGAAAGATTCTCTCTCTCTCTCTCTCTCTCTCTTTTCCGGATTCTCTTATCTTCTGCGTCACTGTTTATTTCCTTGCCTTTTCATCTCAATCAAATTTCTACAATTAAAAGCAACCAAGAAAGTTTGTCTTTAATTGATTCATTTTCCCAAAGTTTTTATGCATTATTTATTTATATTTTTTTATTCCTTTTCGGCGGATGCATTTTCTGAGTGATGAATTTTCATGGGCGCATGTATGTATTTTTTGATCCAGCGTGCAAGTATGGTTAATTATGTGCAACTTTGTTTCTGATTCGTTTGTGCTGAGAAAAAAAGCTGGGATTCAGATTTGTTATATATATATATATATATTTATTTATTTTGTATTTGTATTCATGAGTGTTTCACTAAATTCAGCAACAAAAACAGTAACTCTTTATGTTTATGTATGTATATCAAATGTATTTCTGTTGTATTAAGTTGTGACGCAGGTAATTTTTAAGATTTTTTTATTTTTTTCTGGTCAAAAAAAAAATTTTTCTTTGAATTAATGGAATTTTTTTTACGAGAAAGCTTAAAAAAGAAAAAATCTTGATGCTTCAGTTATTTACCTAAAATATAGTAGGATCACAAGTAGCTTCATTCACCAGCTAAATTTGATTTGTTGGGATGAAGAATTGTGTTGAATCAAAACTTGAAGGGTTGACTTTTGTTAAATCTATTTTCTATAACAGCTTTAGATATGTTACATATGATCTCTATAATTGAAATTGGTTTGATCTGTTTTTGCAGGAATAGTAAGTATCCTGAGTAGTTGACTCATCTCAGTTGTGAACAACAACGTCTCTTGATGAGTTAAAGGAGAGCATACAGTCTGTGATGTTTTTGTAGTGGAAGTGGATAGAACCATAGACAGACCTTAAGTGCTTGCTTAAAGATGGGTTTTGAGCCACTGGTTTGGTATTGTCAGCCAGTGGCGAATGGGGTGTGGGCTAAGGTAGTGGAAAATGCGTTTGGAGCTTACACACCATGCGCAACAGACACTTTGGTTGTTTCCATCTCCAATTTGGTTCTTATGGGCCTGTGCTTATATCGAATATGGCTGACTAAGAAGGATTTTACAGTCCAGAGGTTCCGTCTGAGGTCAAATTATTACAACTACATGTTGGTATTGTTGGCTGCCTATTGTACCGCAGAACCTTTATTCAGATTGGTCATGGGTATATCGGCCTTGAATCTTGATGGACAGACTGGCGGCCTCGCTCCATTTGAAGTAGGTTTTCCCCTTCTATGTGTGTTCTCTGTTGCTCAAAATATTCTATACTTTATTGAAATGCTCAAAATTCAAAATATCCAGTAGTTGAATTGCGTTCACGTTCTAATGACATAACCTCCTTTCATTTCCTTTGGAGACAAAAGCAGCTACCCTTTTGCATTTTTGAATTTTAAAAGCTTACTATTGCAAGTAGCTACCTAAAGGCCATGTTTGTTTGGGTGGACTGGATTAGGTTGGATTAGAATTTCCATAACTAATAGTCTTATACTATGAATTCCTTTGGATTGTATATCCTATCCTATGATTGGATTGAGTTAGGATTATGAGAAGAGACTAATAGTCCAGAGTTTGGCTTAGTCCGCCAATTTATATCCCACTCCTCTGTGGGATTGAATAGTCCATCATACGTGGGATACTATATCCGGATGGATTATTAGTCCGTACTTCAATTGTTTAACCAAACATCGGATTAATAATTTTATTGGACTATTAGTCCAATTCCAAGCTCATGTCCACCCAAACAAACATGGCCAAAGTGTATTTGTGTTATTTGGTTAGCTTGAATGTGAGTCGATTTGTTATGTTCACCACCTAAAGTGTATTTGTGTTATGGGTTTCAGATAATGCCCCCCTCTTCTTTCTTTTAGGTCACATCCAAGGATTTCATCCTAAACACTCAAAAACAAGTACTAATTATAATGTTCGTTTGGCTTTGGATACTTGAATCCATAATTAAATTAAGACCACACGAGGATTGTCCATCACATGTGACCTCTTGCTAATTTTTTATGGTTCATTTATTTTCGCAGATGGTTTCACTCATCATTGAGGCTTTTGCTTGGTGCTCTATGGTGGTCATGCTTGGTGTAGAAACAAAGGTCTACATCAGTAAGTTCAGGTGGTACATCGGATTTGGGGTCATTTATGCTTTGGTAGGGGACATTGTGATGCTCAGTCTCATTCTTCCGGTGAAGGAGTTTTACAGTCGGTTAGTTTTTGTCTAATTTCTTGATACTTTTTGATTTGATAATGTATATTTTTCTCCCTCACTACGGTATATCTTGATCTTCTTGTTGCTGCTGCACATGTAAAGACGTATATCCAACAAAATTATGTTCATTGATTGTGCTATTGATTTCCATAATTTCTTACTTAAATTTCTTTTGTCAAGCTCCCATATGCAATTTTCAAATATGGGCATTTGAAGATCTGAAAACCAAATATTGGATGAGGAATAACATATCTTTAATTGTGAAATGACACTGATAATATAGTTCACAGTTATTTTAAAACTATGATTACAGTGAGTAAAGAACTGTAGTAGTTTGGACATGACATTTACTTTGATGCTATGTATGTTTATGTGTGCGCGCATGCGTGCTAGCCTGTGCATGTGCCTGTGATAAAGTGGAATGTGTCACACGATCTTGGGTAAAACTTAACCCAAAAACCAGCTGTTGAGGTGAGGGTGCCCCTTGCATTGGGTTTCCATTTCTTTTTAGCTGCTTCTTTGTATCTATTTTGTTTGTAGACATTGGTGTGTTGCTGCTTCGTTGTGTCTATTTTGTCTGTATGCATTGATACACCAGAATTTCAAGTGTCTTTAGGATTGAGACAATCGGTATCAACCTCAGTTATTGATATTGATTATTTAGGACTGTTGAGTGAAGTGAAATGGGTCTCGTTTCGATAATTCGAGGCGTATCTTGTAGGGTCCTTCATGTATATCATCTATACAAAAAATTAGATGAATTTGATAATCTTAACTTATTCAATATATCGCGTTTGTCCCCCAAAATATGGATGATTTATTTATAAAAATACACTTGTCATTCATTTTGTTGACCACAAATGTGATAAATTGAATAGGTTACCATTATCGGATTAACCTTAAATGTTCATATTTTATCATAATCAACCTATAAAGGTGTGATTCTTGGATTCAAGCAATTAATGGAAGATCTAAACTCTAAAGAGTGCAAGAGTTGGCCGACTAGAGCCAAATAATAGTAGGTTGGGGTCTGGCACAGATAAGGTGGTTGTGATGGGTGGATTGAGTTACTTCGATTTCAGATGCATATGCTGTTGTTTTGGCAATCACTGTTATGTTCTCAACAACTTCAGTTTTCTATTTTGTTTGAGTGAATTATGAGACATGCTCTTGTTAAGCAAATTACTAGTTTGAAAGTGTCAAAATCTCCTTATCGTGAATAATTCGTGTATAGAGTCATATTTTATCGTAGTTTGGAAGTTTTTTTTGATTAAAATTGTTGAATAGATATTTCTAGATATGCTCGCAGCACAAATATAAGGCTGCGTTTTATCCATGCAGATCTGTTCTGTTTTGGTACATCAGTGAGGTCTTTGTCCAGGTTTGATGCTCTTCTCTGTCTCTTTATATTTTTTAAGATTGTTAGTTATGTAATTTTATTTCATATCTTCTGTCCAGTCGAATATTGTGCGGACAAAAGCTAAAAACCGGCCCTTCAAGACCAGGCCAACACTAACCTAAGCCTTATGAGAAGCATTTAATAATTGATCCAGTGCCCAGCATGTATGATTTGTAAATGCCTTCTTGCACGTGCAAGAACATTTATGGGCTTCATCCTTGACACCCTTATTTTGATTAATGGAAATCAAATTTTTAGGATTATAAACATAAATGTGGCAATATGGTATATTGTGGTAACAGATACATATTTATTGGTTGGACAAAAGTAGGCAGTCACAGCCCTGTTCTGGATTTCAAGTAGGCTGCATTAGAACTGCCTGGTGGATCTCTAAACCTCACAAAATTTTCCTTGATACATACTCCTTTTTGTGGTCCAACTTAACCAGTTTTGACTTTCTGATTAGGATGGCTATTACTACCCAATGATACTGAACTTTATACTCATTTAGCTATTTGCACCCCAAGATGTCCAAATTCTAGGCAAGTACAAGAACCAGGGCTTGGGACAAAAATGAACATGAACAATTTGTGGATCAGGGTTTAAACCTTGGTCTTTAACTTTGCGTTCAGCTACATCATACAATCAAATTCAATATGTGGTTATTGTTTGTGAAATAGGTCTTGTTTGGAGTACTCTTTCTGGTGTATTTTCCCAGTATGGATCCTTATCCGGGGTACACCCCAATACGGACCGAATCTGTTGATGACACTGAATATGAAGAACTTCCTGGAGGAGAGCAAATTTGTCCTGAGAAGAATGCCAACATATTTTCCAGTACGTACTTTGTGGATTTACATGTTCTCATTCGCAGTGCTAGCTATTCTAGAATTCTTATATTGACTCTTTGAATGGAATATTAATTATAGTTGCTAAGATGAGAATAATTTGAACCACTCCCTTCCATTTTGTGTGGTGTGATTGATTTTTTGGAAAGCATCTTTGAATGTGAAGCTTACAAAAATGCCCTTTGTCCCATTTGAATAAAGATGATATGGGACTGCCAAAATGGAAAGACCACATAAAACAGGACGGAGGTAGTACATCTCAGCTATACTATGGATTGTCTTCCCAAACAATCAGAAAGGTGGTCATAAAGTGATTTGGCCGCTTCTTTGATTTGAAAATTAGAGTTTGTGCTTTGAGCTTGGTTCACAGTATTCTTCACTGTTATCTCCAAACCTTTTTAGTTCACCTTCCTGCTGTTGTCAATTGCTTGAATTGAGACACTGTTTTTGTGCTTTATGGTGTCCTCCCAGTAATCTTTGCCACCTTTGTATTTGTTTGCTGCACCACCACATGTACAGTGTGAGACTATTTGTAATCTTCTTGATAAAACAAAAATATATCTTTTTCCACTGCTTCACTTAAACTGATATTCTGGTTCATGGTTTCTTTTGCAGAAACTACTTTTGCATGGATGAATCCACTTATGCATCTAGGCTTTAAAAGGCCCCTGACTGAGAAGGATGTTTGGAAATTGGACACATGGGACCGAACTGAAACACTGAATAGCAAGTGAGTCCTTGTTTTTCTAATTTTGTCTTTTACTTGGATTCATTCATAGCAAGATTCGTGTCATATTTTTTGTTGACTCCTTAGGTTCCAGCAATGTTGGGCTGAGGAATCTCGGAGGTCTAAACCATGGCTTTTAAGGGCATTAAATCGTAGCCTTGGGGGAAGGTGTGGATATTGTTACATTACTAGAATTTTTGCATTGCATGTACTGTAGTTTAATCTGGTTGATGTTTTTCGTGACATATTCTCTGATTTTTGTAGGTTTTGGTGGGGAGGTGTTTGGAAGGTAATGAGCTCCTTAAACAACTGTTTCATTAGGACATTGTTTATTTAAGTTAAAAAGCATGCATCCGATTTAGGAGCAGAGTATTTACATGCATGTGGTTTTTTTGAAATTCTGAACAAATTTAGTTTCTTGGTTGCAATGTTCTATGCTTAGGCTCATTTTGCTTTCGCATTTTGGGTCCAAATACAATTGGCAATGCATAATTGCATTTGCCAAAAGTTTTTTTTTTATTCCCTTTCCATTTTTTTTCGTTTTGGGCTACTATTCAATTATACCCCTTTTCTTTTTGTTATTTCTCTATCTCAACATCGTTAACTTTTTCTAAGTGAAGATGAGAGAGGCTTTTTAGATTAAGGCCTTGATTACTAATGTGCGATAATATCTGACAACCAATAGAACCAATCAAAGCTTGTACCTGTTTTTATCAACTAAGTGTACTGTAAGCATGAAGACATCTTATATCTGCAATATAATTATGAAATGGTAAAAAAAAAAGGTGATTGAGTGCATGAGGCTCCTGCTAAAGTGCGGGGTGGGCAAGATGAATGCAGCCTTAATTCAATTCATGAAGAGGCTGATTTTGTGGCTCGAATCTGCGCCACTAAGAACATCAACAAGCAGCCTTACCATTGCACTTCTAATATATTTGTAAATTGTATTGACATTAAATATGTACGTTTGATTTCTGGTCCTTGTTTTAATTAAATAAATGATATAACATTAACACATTTGCACATGCACATGCAGATGGGGGAGTATACAGTTAAAGAATAGAGTATGTGAAAAATTAGGGTTGGAATGAGAAAGAGAGAAGAAAAGAGAATTGACAGAGAGAATACAGATTAGGGTTGCATAATCTAGCCCCTACATATATTTATATTCAAGTGAGAACTACAAAATGACCATAATACCCTTACTAACAAGACTGAGAAATATAACAGAGACAAAAAAACTACTCTACACTCCCCCTCAAGTTGGAGCATAGAGATCAAACATATCCACCTTGGGAGATAATTGGTGGAAACATGACCGAGCTAAAGGTTTGGTGAGAATGTCACCCAATTGATCTTTAAACTGAACAAATAGAGTCTCAAGTTGCTTGTAGAGTAGCAAATCACGAACAAAGTGACAGTCAATCTCGATGTGCTTTGTACGCTCATGAAACATTGGATTATTCGCAATGAAGATAGCATCATGATTATCATGCCACATACGCATAGGAGAAGGAACATATATGCCAAAATAGATTCACTTCCAAAATAGATTCACTCATAAATTCACTAGAGATTCACTTCCAAAATAGATTCACTGGAGATTCACTTCCAAAATAGATTCACTCATAGATTCGTATCAATTTTGCAGACATTGCCAATCGAATCATGAATTGAATAGCAAATCGTAAGATTTTGATTACAGAGTCAATTATACCTTAATTAGTTCTCAAATCAATTTTTCATGGGCTATACTTTCCCTAAAGGGGCACTTACGGCTTTTCTCTGCCATGCTTTCTGGTCCTGCATGTCAGTGATTTCAAAAGGATGAAAAGAATGGTTTTTGGCTTACCTTTGAATGAGGTAGAGGCCATATATATATTACATATTCCTGATACAATTTTAGGGAACAATATAAACAAGAAGAGAGATTCTTACAATCAACATAAAAATATTCTAATTCCTATTCTATTCTAGTTTCTATATTAAACACTTCCCCTCAAGCTGGTGTGGAGATATTCAACAAATGCAACTTGTCAATGAAAGACTGGAGCATAGTTGGTCCCGGTCCGGCGGACGGCTAAGGTGAGGTTGCCGCCCGCCGGTGAAGCGAAAATATTAGGTTCTAAACCTGCTCTGATACCATGTAGAAAATTTAATGTATAAAGAGAAATAGAGAATTGTATTATTGATTGATTTATTTTGATATATATTACAAATGGTGAGTGGCTCATTATATAGGAGAGGGTGAGTGTAGTAGGTGAGGAGTAGGTGAGGAGTAGGTGGTGGTAGGTGATGGTAAATTGGTGGTAGGTGATGCCACATACGCATAGGAGAAGGAACATGTATGCCAAAATAGATTCACTTCCAAAATAGATTCACTCATAAATTCACTAGAGATTCACTTCCAAAATAGATTCACTGGAGATTCATTTCCAAAATAGATTCACTCATAGATTCGTATCAATTTTGCTGACATTGCCAATCGAATCATGAATTGAATAGCAAATTGTAAGATTTTGATTCAGAGTCAATTATACCTTAATTAGTTCTCAAATCAATTTTTCATGGGCTATACTTTCCCTAAAGGGGCACTTATGGCTTTTCTCTGCCATGCTTTCTGGTCCTGCATGTCAGTGATTTCAAAAGGATGAAAAGAATGATTTTTGGCTTATCTTTGAATGAGGTAGAGGCCATATATATATTACATATTCCTGATACAATTTTAGGGAACAATATAAACAAGAAGAGAGATTCTTACAATCAACATAAAAATATTCTAATTCCTATTCTATTCTAGTTTCTATATTAAACACTTCCCCTCAAGCTGGTGTGGAGATATTCAACAAATGCAACTTGTCAATGAAAGACTGGAGCATAGTTGGTCCCATAGATTTTGTGAACGAAATCTGCCAACTGTTGAGAAGAAGAGACAAAGGATAGACACACAATGCTAGTCCAAACCTTTTCTCTAATGAAATGTATGTCGACCTCGATGTGCTTGGTACGCTCATGAAGCGCAATCAAAGGATAACATAATGGCAGGTTTGTTATCACAAAATAAAGAGGAAGGAACAGTCTCCTCAAAACCCAACTCTGCCAGAATAGAGCGAAGTCAAAGAATCTCACATGCCCCGTGTGCCATAGCCCGATACTCAGCATCTACAAAAGATCTAGAAGCAACTGCCTACTGGTTACTTTTTCATGAGATAAGATGATCACCATAGAAAGTACAGAAGCTAGAAGTGGACGCCGATCAGTCCTAGATCTTGCATAGTTGGTATCGGGGAAATAGGAGAGCCCAGATTAGAGACTAGCTGTAAAGAACAATCCCAAGCCAGGAGAAGTCTTCGAATACCTCAAAATATGATAAACCACATCAAGGTGCTTTGTACGAGGTGCATGCATGAACTACCTCACAACATTAACTGCAAATGTCAAGTCAAGTATAGTGTTGGTTAAATAAATGAGGCGTCCAACAAGACGCTAATGCATGCTTGGGTCATCCAGCAACTTAACAGGCTTTGATGTGAGCTTGACATTAGGATCCATAGTAGTAGAAGCAGGTTTACACCCTAACATACCAGTATTCTTAAGCAAGTCAAGGGAGTACTTGCACTGTGACAAGGAGATCTCCTCTCTTGAGTGAGCCACCTCGATTCCCAAAATGTATGAGACATTCCAGATCCTTAATATCAAAAGTTTGGCCTAAGTCCTTCTTGACTTGACCAATGCCAACAGAGTCATCACCTAAAACCAAACTAAACCAAACCAAACCAAACCAAACCAAGTCAAGCCTTAAGTTCCATCAAATGTGGTTGGCTATATGAATCTTTCTTCTCCATGCAGCTCTATCAATGGCCATTTCGTTAGTCAAATTAAGTAGATTCATATCTCTATTTATAATGCTAGCCAACGTTAATTGAGGCCTACCCCGTCTCCTAACACTTCCATCTACCATTACAGCATCACATTTCTTCACTACTGCCTCTGTTGGTTTCCGTTGAATATGACCAAACCATCTCAATCGATTCTCTCTCAACTTATCTTCTATCGGTGTTATTCCTACCCATTCTCAAATGCATTCATTCCTAATTCTGTCTTGTCTAGTCTTGCCACATATCCACCTTAGCATCCCTATCTCAGCTACACTCATCTTATCTACATATTGTTTTTTGGTTGAACAGAGGCATCACCTGTGAGAATAATATCATCCACATAAACTAACAAGACTATACACCGACTTGCAGAATTTTGGCGAATGAAACAAGTGTGATTTGAGTGGCACTGAACAAAGTCCACAGATATAATAACAGAATTGAAGCGACCAAACCATGCTTGCGGAGTGTTTCAGACCATAGAAGGATTTGCGTAACCGGCACACTTTCTCCAAATGCTTCCCCTTAGCCCGAAAACCTGGTAGAGGAGCCATGTAAATTGTCTCAAGAAGATCCCTATGAAACGCATTCTTGACATCAAGTTGATGAAGAGGCCAAGAATAGGATGTTGTAAGGGAGATAAAGAGACGCATAGAAGTAAGCTTAGCGATAGGGGCAAAATTGGCACCAAAATCCTTGTCAGGAATCTGTGTGAAACCTTTGGCCACCAGGTGGTCTTTGTAACGGTCAAATGAGCCACCAATGAGGTACTTTATGGTGAACACCCATTTGCAACTAACCGTGCTTTCCCTAAGAGGTAAAAGTATAAGATCCCAAGTGTGATTCTGTTCTAAGGCTGCCATCTCAGTCTGTATAGCTGCTACCCATTTTAGATGCTGAAGGGCCTCAGACATAGTTCGAGGAATGGATTCAGACTCAAGCTTGGCAATGAAATAACGGTAAGAAGTGGCATAGGAAAGGTACTGGGAAATGAAATGATTAGTACTGCTTAAATAACTCAAACGATTTGGAGGATGTCTATCCCAAGGTGGGTTACAACGAGGAGGTGGAGTGGAGCCAAAGGAGGAGAGTTACCTAACCCAGAGATTGGAGAGGTGGTAGGGAGAGGTTGAGTGCGTGGGTGACGGGAGTATACTTGCAATGGGGGAGGAGACGAAGGTTGAGAAGGAGGGAGGGGGACAACCTCATCCTTAACCTTGTCCAAAATGGTCACCGGGCAAACAGTGGAAGGAACAGTTGGAGGATCCTGCAAAGGAGGGTTAGTACCAAAGAAAGAAAGATCATCAAAAAAAATAACATTTGAAGTGTGGTGAAAGTGATGAGACACAGGGATGTAACACCTATACCCTTTGGACATAAAAGAGTATCTTAAGAAGATATAGCGAATAGATTTGTCATCTAACTTTGCGCGAGTATGACTTTGATATTGAACAAAACAAGTACACCCAAAGACAGGAGGTAAGAGTGGAATCAGAGTGGTAGTAGGCATAAGGATATGAAACGGAGTGAGACCATTCAACACTCGACTAGGGGTCCTAGTAATGAGGTAAATAGCAATAAGGACAGCTATATGCCAATAAGACTTGGGAACACCCATACCTTGAAGAAGACACCGGACAATCAACATAATGTGACGGTTTTTGCGTTCAACAACACAATTTTGTTCAGGGGTCCGAGGACAACTAAGTTGTTGAAGAATACCGATTTGATTCAGATGGGAATGAAATTCATTGAGCTATATTCCCCACCATTATCAGAACGAATATTCCGAATAATTGTACGAAACTGAGCTTTAACCATTTGTAAAAATTGAACAAAAATAGGAAACACTTCAGACTTCCGTCAAAGGTGATAAACCCAAGTGCACCTAGTGTGATCATCAATAAAAGCTACATAATATCTATGACCAGAGAAAGTAGTGACAGGGGAAGGACCCCAAACATCTGAATGTACAAGATTAAAAGCATTAGGGGCTCGAGTCATGTGAGGGATATAGCTAGTACGAGTATGCTTAGACAACTCACAAACCACACAATGAAATTTAGAGTCTTTGCAAGCTTTATTAAATGAAGAAAAAAGTTAACATAAATATTGAAAATTAACATGACTCATATGAGAATGCCATAATTCTAAAGTTTGAATATTAAACACGCAAGACATGGAAGCAGGCAAAACAAAGGCTTGAAAACTAACTAAAGAAGAAGAGGAAGGCTTGTTCGGTGGGTCCCCAAAGTAGTAAAGCCCATCACACTCATAGCCCTTGTCAAAAATTCTCTTCGAACTATAGTCCTGTTAAAGACAAGAAGAGGGTAAGAAGATGAAAACACAATTAAATTGTTTGGCAAGATGACTAACGGATAAGAGATTATATGCAAACTTTGGAATATGTAAAACAGATGATAAAGTAATGGTAGGGGATAAGGACACTGTACCCTTATAATGAACAGAGGATGAAGAACTATCAGCAAGACACACAGATTGGGCAATACTAGTAGGGACATGAGAAGAAAGAAAGGAAAACTCACTAGTCATATGATCATTAGCCCCAGAATCCAGAATCCATGAGGGACTAGTATACCGAACATGGAAAGTAGTAGAAGTATCTGTAGCAAGGGTGGCAACAGTAGAAGATGATGGGCCATGAGAGCTAGCAGTGAGAGATCCAAGCTGAGTCTGAAGCTGACCAATTTGAGTCTGTAACTCCTGTAAATTAGGGACATTAGGAATAGCCTCCACTAAAGCAGTAGTGCAATGGGTGCTAGTACCACGAGTATGAGAAGAACATGGCTTCAACTCAGGATGAAGTTTGAAGCAACGAGCCTTAACATGATCAGAAGCACCACAATGATGACTAGTAACAGGACCAGTAGAACCCCGAGAACCAAGCTTGGCAGCAAGAACCATCTGATCAGATAAAACTGGAGAAAGGGTAGGAGGACTTGGTTGAACAAGACGTGTACGGCGCTTTTCACTATCAATGGTGGTAAAGGCCTCATAGAGAGAAGGCATGGGTGATGTGTTTAACATGTAAGTTCGAAGAGATTCGAATTCAGAGTTTAAACCCATCAAAAACTGGTAGGGGTGCTGGCGAGCAAGGCGTTTGGACACAAGAGAGGCAGCATCTGCTGGTAACTCAGTCAATGGTTCATATTGAGCCAATTCTTCCCAACAGGCTTGCAGATATCCAAAGAACTCTGATACAGAAAAACCCAAGGCGGACTGGGGGGCATGAGCATTATCTTGATAGAGCTCAAAGATGCAAGCATCATTGTGAGCATGAGCATGAGCATGAGCATACATCTATGACAAGGTACGCCATAGACTAGGAACTATGCCGCAATAGAGAAACATGTGATAAATACGATCCTCTATGGAGTTGAACATCCATCCCAGAATAGTACAATTATCAATATCCCACTGGGCACGTGCAGGATCTGTCACATCAGGCTAGGTAGTAGAAGATAGGAGCCAGTGAGCTTTTCTCTTTCCCCTAAATAGAGTTTAAGGGAGCAACTCTAGGTGGCAAAAATTTTCCCATTGAACACCACACTCGTAATACGATGAACAGGAGTGTGATGAGAAAGATAAAAATCAGAACTAACTGGGACAGGCTTGATGGACATATCAGAAGTAACAATAGGAGGTATCTTAGTCATGGTGAAATAATAAGGTCAAGAAAAACAAACACATAGCAACACAGTTTTGGGAAAAAATACGAGAAGGTGGAAAAAACTCAACGGCTAGTCCAGGTAAATGCAATTGAATAAACAGTAGCCTATTGAATGAAAAAGAGTTAAAAAGTGCTTAATACATCAGTACTACACCCTAGAAAGGGAAAAAGAGGGCATGCACTACCCTAAATAGACCGTCGACACACCTAAGGCCAGTAAACAGCCAGGTCGGCAGCAAACAATGACCTTGGCAGGGCTGAAACCACCTGCCGAGGGTCTAGGACAGGTGGGTAAGGGCTGTCGAGTGGTGTAAAGGGGCTAGGAGGGGCTGTCGGTTGGTATAGAAGAGAGGGGTGAGGCTGATGGATGGTGTAGAGAGGCTAGGAGGGGCTGTTGGCACCTAAGGAAGAAGAAATAAGGGGAAGAACAGGTTGGGCAGTGGCTGGGTAATGGCGGCAGGGAGGAAGGAGAAGGGCTAGGGTTTTTGAACTTTGCTCTGATACCAAAAAGGATGAAAAGAATGGTTTTTGGCTTACCTTTGAATGAGGTTGAGGCCATATATATTTAACATATTCATGATACAATTTTAGGAAACAATATAAATAAGAAGAGAGATTCCTACAATCAACATAAAAATATTCTAATTCTAATTCCTATTCTATTCTAGTTTCTATATTCAACAATTTCTATTCAGGCTATATGACCCATGTCCTTGACTATTATATATGGTTCACCATTCTATAACCTGGAGTGAGTTAATGATTGGTCATGGTTCACCCGTGTAACTTATATTTGTTGTTTAATATGACTTGTGGATCAAATTGATGGATTAAACATTAGAATCACCTGGTAAAGATTCTGTGTGCGATGCAGTTTTGGTTGTTTTAATAGGTGACTGTGTCTAGTTGATTTACTAGTACATGTACACATGCTTATGAAAATATTTTTGTTGATGCTTTTGTTGTTAGTATCATAACATTGTATGTGGACAAAAAGAAAAATAGTAATATATACTGTGGCACTCATGCAAATTTGTGATGTGTTTGCATTATTTTTGCCGTCTAGTTGTTAAATCGTACTTCAAAATTTAAGAAATAGGAGTCCTTTTATAAATTGATTGAACCTTGTCATATTCTTAAATTCATAGTTTCATTTGGTACTGAAATTTTTGTTTTTACCCATTTTCCAATGAAAATAATTCTGTATTGCATCAATTTTTTTATTTTTTTATTTCATTTTTTTGTCAATATAAACTAAGGTATCTTTTTGCAAGTTTTTTGTTAAAATTTTATTTCCATCTTGAGAGGAATCATGATAAGACAAATATTCACTTTTAGGATTTTCAGTTTCCATATATTAAGTTTTGTTTTGTTTTTTTAAATTTTTTAAATTTTTATTATTATTATATATATATATATATATATGTTTTGTAGCACCAGAAGATTTAAAACGAAATCAAGGTTTAGCTTTGAGAATTTTGAGTCAAGTCAGAATACTATTGAAATCCATTTAAATAGAAGTTCCCATTTTCATTATCAAATGCAGAAATCTATTTTTAAACCATTTGGTGAAAATTTCTGATATGTCCCACATTTTACTAAATCTCTATAAAATTTGGCTAAATCAACTAATATACATATTGGATGTCTATACTAATTCTTTATGAGTCCAACTGTTTCAGGTTTGGCATGAATATCCTGAATATATGGTTGATTATCATCTGAATTTTTATTTATTCATGTACAGATGTATTGTCTGAATCTAGTATTCACTGAATTCTTAATAATTATTACTGGAGTTGGTATTTGCATGTGTAAATTATTACTAAAATTGGTATTTGCACGCTTAAATTATCACTTTTTAGTTTGATATTTCAATTCATAACATTTCTTTCTTCTTTGATCCATTTGTAGATTGGTAATGATGCTTCCCAGTTTGTGGGCCCAATTATATTAAACCAACTTTTAGAGGTCAGTTACTGTTTTGGCAATGCATCACTGGATATATAATTTGAATTGTCATTTTCTCCCTTAGTTGGATTATTTATTTGTTGTGTAATTGGTGATTCCTATTGGTTAATGATACTCATGTGTGACAGCTATATCAGCCCTTTTCTGAGTTGTGTTCTGATTGATGATACTCATGCTTGGCAGTTGTACCAGACATTTTCATAGTTCGAGAGCATATTTAATGCAATATTTTTATTTATTTATTCCTCCTCTCTCGTTTCCAGAAAAAGTCTCTCTCTCTCTCTCTCTCTCTCTCTCTCTCGTTTTGTCTTTTTGAGTGACTGGTCTCTCTCTATTCTATGCCTATCCTCCAAATAGGAGGTTCTCTCTCTGTTCTATGCCTATCCTCCAAATAGGAGGTGGCACCTCCTTAAGTTGAAGTGTGTGCCTACTACACAGCTCACTAATCACAGAACTACTTATTTACTCAAGGTTATTACTAATTAAGGTTAAGTCTCTACTCTTACTTAGGCTAATTAATAATGATTAAGCTTAATTAATTTAGTTTAAGTCTACTAATGACACTCAATTACTACTAATCTTGTTACACAATACATAAAAATGTCAAGCGCAGTAGACCAAAACAAAGCTCGTTGATTAAGGAAATGAAACATCTTTAAGCATGTCATACAAAAAATGAAAGTTTTTCTTTCTTATCTCTTAGTTTTCTCTAGTTCCATATCAAAGAGGCATATAGACAATTCAGAGTTATAGGAATTTGATAACAAAGCATATAAATGTATCCTATTCAAAGAACAACATTTCTAATCATGTATCCTCTTTCTCGGTGGTCGGTCGTTTGAGTTTGAGGAGACGTTGCTCGGTGTGGATGGGCGATGCAATTTGTCCATAGTTAAGCGGAAGGAGGGGCTTCGAAAGGCGGTGGTGGTGGCTGGGTCGGAAGCTCGATGGATTGAGGGGCGAATGAAGAATGCCTCGGTTGAACCAGATAATCTAAAATTCCTAGACCACCTCAATGGGGGAAATCGCTCTGTAGCAATATGGGTTCGTGGAGAGGAAGGTGCTAGGTCGTCATTTCAAATAGTGGTGACAATAGGGAAGCAGTGCAACTAGATCTTTATTCCTGTGTCTGTCTTCGGGGATGGCTGGGAAGGGGTGGCATTGGTTATTAAAGGCTTTGATATGATGAAGGAGAAGGCATAGCGACCTGTAGTTCCGAATAACTCGCCGTCCGTTTCTGCTACGTCGTCATCGGCCAATCGTGAGATCTTAAAGGTGGTTCGCACCACGGTGGAGGTTGATTGGTTTTAGTTGTTGGATAGAGCTTTGGTGGGTAAGGTGGGGGGGCGAAGTGGTAAGGGCATGAGCTTCGCGGCTATCTCGAAATGGGTAGGTCGGCGGTGGGGCCAATTGGGTACGATGGAGGTACGACTGCTGGGGGAGAAGGCTTTCTTGTTTGTCTTCCCAACTAAACGTGAGGCAAAGGTGACAGTGCGCCAACGGCGGAAAGTGGGTGGGCTTGATCTTTTGTTGGAATGGTGGTCACCATTGGCCCTGAGTACTTCAAGGAAGTTGTCGCTGTTGGAGAAAAGCATATGGATTCAGGTGGTGGGTCTTCCTGTTCATCACCGTGGGGAAGAGGTGTATCGTGCTATTGGCGATCAGTGTGGTGGTTTCGTGGAGGCAAATGAATCCTCGGTGGATCTGGGTTGTGTACGATTGTGGGTGCGACGTTCGGACCACACTCCGTCGCAAGTCTCTGTTGGTTGTTGGTTGGGGATGTGGCAGTTCTTGCCGCTAGTTTGGGTGGAGGAAGATTTGCTCGTCGAGCTGCGGTTGTCGGCGGCTAAAATTCCTGGGGGATTTGGGGCGGATGAGGTAAGAGTGGATCTCAAGCAATTAGGTCGCGAAGTTATAGGGATTTGGGGGAGGGAGGAGTATCTGCAAAGATTTAGAGTAGATAAGGGGCTTGCTGGTACACGTGGTATACGTAATATGGTGGGTCATGGTTTGAGTCAATCAAGGAGGCCTCATAGGGATCAGTTGAGCTTGGCAAAGGCCCAAGTAGCTGTGAGTAGGAATGTGGGCCGTAAGGCTTGGGTGGTGGCAAATAATAAAGGAGTTCAGGGCTGGGCCTATGAGACTAATTGGGAGAGCTCTCCAGCCTATCACTTAAGCCCTAAGGGACCTGAATTGGGCCAACCTGGGTTACCCTAGGTCAGTTCTGCTGTTGCTGGGCTAGGTCGTGTTGGCACGAGCAATGGATGTGATGTGGTGGCAGAGGCGAATCCAGGAGAGAGGGGTCGGGTGGAGTTGGTCGATGTTGATACACACCATCGATCGCCAGACACGAAATTGGGATGGGAGTTGGTGGCCCATTGCGACTCTGGTGGCGACAATCTAGGGTCTAAGCGGCTGGCGGAGGTTGGTGGACTTAGTTCTCAGGCAGAGAGCTTGGAAGCTGAAGATGGTGAGGTCGATCCAGGTATGGAGTCGTATGGGGGTGTATCCTGGGTAGATTACGTTGATGGTGAGACCAATGGCGAAGGGCTGGCTTTGGTACTGCAACCCCAGGTATGGAGTCGTATGGGGGTGTATCCTGGGCAGATTGCGTTGAACACAGTGATATTACCAATGGCGAAGGGCTGGCTTTGGTACTACAACCCCTTGCCACAGAGGGAGGTGGGTCGGAGGACTTGTTGGGACAGCACCAAAACATGTTTCAGACCAGCGGTGGGTTGGATGGGGCAGAGGTACCATCGTCTGAGGCAGTGTCGGAATGGGTGTTGGAGCGCATTGGGGAAGTCAGCTGCTGTTTGGGTTTGTCATTTGAGGCCATAAAAAGGAGGCTATGAGTTTATTTGCAGTAGTAGAAGCATCATGATGGCAAGGGGCTCTCAGTACGGGAGTGGGTACACCATTTGTTTCCTTGGTAAAACGAATTGGGAGCTCAAGAATTTGGAATGCACTGTTAATTATGATCATGGGAGGCTGACTGCAGGATGGGGAGCTAGAAGAATGCGTAGGGGACCACTATTGTTGAAATGAAGCTAAAAATTTTATCTTGGAATGTACAGGGCTTGCATAACAAGGATAAACAGGTGGCGGTGAAGGCCATGTTGTGTGGAGCAAAGGCGGATGTTGTGTCTACAAGAAACAAAAATGGTGGGGTTGGGACTGGAGATGATTCCGGAGACATGGGGGGCGGGGCGGTTTGTGGAGTCAACATTTTTGCCGTCGTTTGGGACGACAGGGGGATTTTTCTTTGCTGGGATTCGAGGGTGGTGGTGAGAGAGGAGGAGGAGGAGGTAGGGGGTTTTTCAGTTTCTTGTTTGTTTCGATGTGTGGAGGATGGCTTTCGGTGGGCCTTTACTGGGGTGTATGGTTCGATGTAGAATTCGGAGCGGGGAGGGTTTCTCGAGGAATTGGAAAGTGTAGCGTTTCGATGGGATGTTCCGTGGTGTGTGGGGGGAGATTTTAATGTTATTAGATGGCCCTCAGAGAGGTCGGGGACCAATCGGGTCTCTGGGTCCATGAGGTCCTTTTGTTCTTTTATTGATAATTTGCAGTTGGTTGACTTACCTATTTAGGGGTGATGCTTTACTTGGTCAAATGGGCAGAGGATGTCTTAAATTGATTGTTTTCTGGTGAACGGGGGATGAGAGGAGCATTTTTCGGAGGTTGTCTAGTTACGTCTTCCTCGCCTAGTGTCTGACCATTGGGCTATTGTGCTTGACAGTTGGGAGATTCGTTGTGGTCCCACGCCATTTCGCTTTGAGAATATGTGGCTGCAAACAGAGGGTTTTTTGGATGTGGTGCGTGGATGGTGGAGTAGTTATGTTATTTCTAGTTCTCCTAGTAGTGTGCTAGACCATAAATTGAAATTGCTCAAGGGTGATTTGAAGAGATGGAATAAGGAGGTGTTTGATCGGTTAGAGGGGTAGAAAGCAGAGGTGGTGTCTTTATTCCGAGCCTTTGATGAGTTAGAGGCACAAGAGGGTTTGTCTAATGATGATAGTGTTCGAAAGGAGGCGGCTAGACAGGTCTTTGTTCGTATTTCTCGTATGGAGGAGGTGTCTTTCAGACAAAAATCTAGATGCTTGTGGTTGAAAGATGGGGATCGAAATACGAAATTCTTTCATCGGATGGCGAATGCACATCGGCGAGTTAATCAAATTAGTAGGATGTGGGTGGATGGGCGCGAGCTTTGCACGGATACAGAGATTAGGGAAGGGGTTATGGGATTTTATCAATATTTGTTCAGACAGCAAGAAAGGCAGTGACGTCCAGGCTTGGACGGGGTTCAGTTTGATATGATATCAAGGGAGGATAGGGCGCTTTTGGTGTGTGCTTTTACGGAGGAGGAGGTGTACAGGGCTTTGCAGGCTATAAGTGGTGATAAAGCTCTAGGTTCAGATGGCTTCTCATTGGCTTTCTTTCAGCATTGTTGGAGTGTGGTCAAGGGTGATGTGATGGCAACTTTGGAGGCTTTTTTTTCGATCTGGACAATTTGAGAAAAGTTTTAATGCGACTGTTTTGGTTTTGATCCCAAAGAAAGGGGGGGCTGAGGATGTTCATGACTTTAGGCTTATTAGCTTGTTGGAAAGTGTGTATAAAATATTGGCTAAAGTTCTGGCAAATAGACTTAGAGGGGTTTTGCAAGCTATGGTGTCTGAGTCTTAGAATGCATTTGTAGGGGGCAGACAGATTTTGGATGCTGTGTTGGTTGCCAATGAGTGTGTGGATTCTTGGATTCGATAGCAATGCCCAAGTTTGATCTGCAAATTGGATATTGAGAAGGCATATGACAATTGGGATTTCCTCTTGTATATGCTGGATTGTATGGGTTTTGGAGAGACTTGGTGCCGATGGATCAATTTCTGTGTATCGATTGTGCGGATGTCTGTCTTGATTAATGGAACTCCAGTAGGGTTTTTTCCGACGTATCGAGGTCTTCTGCAAGGGGATCCGTTGTCACCGCTGTTATTTCTTCTAGTGATGGAGGCGTTGAGTAGATTGTTGGATAGAGCCGTGCGTGGGGATCTCTTGGAGGGCTTTGCTCTGGGATTGTTGTCTGGGGCTTCTATTGGTGTATCTCATCTATTATATGCGGATGACGCATTGATTTTCTGTGGGGGTGATGTGGAGCAGGTGGGTCATTTGTGGTGTGTTTTGTTATGTTTTGAGGCAGTATCGGGCCTCCAGGTTAACTTGCGGAAGTTGGAGCTTATTCCAGCTGGAGAGGTGGAGAGGTTACCAGTTTTAGCTGTAGTCTTGGGTTGCAGGGTGTCAGTTCTGCCGGTATCTTATTTGGGTTTGTCGTTAGGTACTTCATTCAAGGCGAAAGGGGTTTGGGATGGGGTGGTGGAACGAGTTCAGCGCCGTGTGGCAGGTTGGAAGAGGCAGTATTTGTTGAAGGGCGAACGGTTGACGTTGATTAAGAGTGTGTTGAGTAGCATTCCGACCTACTTTATGTCCGTCAATGTTATTCCAGTATTGGTGGCGCAACGGTTGGAGAAGCTTTAGAGGGATTTTCTGTGGGGTAGTGGTGGTGATGAATTTAGGTATCGTTTGGTTGAGTGGGGCGGACTTGTCAATTTAAGCAGGCAGGGGGGTTTGGGGGTGAGGAGGTTGGTGACTTTTAATAGAGCTTTGTTAGGGAAATGGTTGTGGCGGTTTGCCGTGGAGGAGGACAGATTCTGGCGATTGGTGGTGGCCTCTAAGTATGGGGTGGGGAGGGGGAATTGGATCTCAGGGGATGTAATCACCACCCATGGGTGTGGGCTTTGGAAAGGGATTTGGTTAGGACGGGAAGAGTTTTGGAGGTGGGTAGGGTTTAGGGTGGGAGATGGGTTGAGGGTGGGGTTTTGAACGGAGAGGTGGTGTGGGGGGGAATCTTTGGTTGCTCGTTTTCCGTTGATTTTTTAATATTGTGGTTGATCGGGAGGCGACAATGGCTTCTTATTTAGGGGGTGGGGATATGGTGGTGTGGGATATTCAGTTACGACATGCGGTGTATGATTGGGAGGTTGCTCAGTTGGTGAAGTTGTGGGGTGTCTTGTATGGGTTGGGAATTACTGGGGTGGGACGAGATGTTATGGTATGGAATGGGGTAGGGGCAAAGGGGCGGTTTACAGTTGCATCTTTTATAGGGATTTGGTGGGAGATGGTGGTGTTGCTTATCCTTGGCATAGTGTTTGGCTACCGGGTGTTCCGTCTAAGGTGGTCTTCTTCATGTAGACGGCCGCTTTAGGGCGGAATCTTACTTTGGACAACTTAATGCGGTGTGGTCATGTTTTAGTGAATCGGTGTTGCATGTGTTGTGTTGTTGCTAAGTCGGTAGATCATTTGTTTCTTCGTTGTTTAGTGGCGTCCCAGTTGTGGGGTTGCTTAGACATTGCTCATGGGGTTGCTTGGTTACAAAATCATTTACTAGTTGTTATGTATAGTTGGTTGGAGAGGAAGGTTGATCCGGATATATTTATTTTTTTTGGATTTTCTAGATGATGTAATTGGTTAGCTTCGTTTATTTTGGTTTCCCCTAAGTGGGGATGGCATCTTGTATTCGTTTTGCATCAACTTGATGCTTTCTAATAAGATTTGTTTATTTATCCCAAAAAAAAAAAAAAAAATGCTTTCCGGCACTTCACAAGATAGCATTTTGATTTTAGGCCTTCAACATTAAAATGAATGGTATCTCAACTGATGCAAATGACAATATTTGCTCATTTATTGAAAGTTGCTTGCTAATAGGTCTTTAGGCCTTATGAGTGTTGTGCTGGTTTCTGATGCATTGTTGACTTCATGAGAATGGTCATTGTTGCAATGAGGAATTTGTGCTCATTATTAAGAAAAGGTTCCAAATATTAAAATATAAGAAAATGAGTGTATTAGTGAACACTGCTGGAAAACAAATTGTGATATAACAATCCCCTTTTCTGCCTCCTTTGTATAATTCTGTCACTGATGTTATTTTGTGGACAACTTGCAGTCTATGCAGCGCAGGGATCCAGCTCGGATTGGTTATATTTATGCTTTCTCAATTTTTGTTGGAGTGGTATGAGTTAAATCCCCTGTTTTCTTTTCTGGATTGTCTATCTTGCTGGAATTTTTTTTGAAGCATGATTTCATAGTCTTACTGCTTTAATATTTCTTGATGCATGATTTTCATAGTCTTACTGCTTTGGATTATGTTGTGCTTGCTACTACAATCAGAACATGTGTGTTGACAATGGAAGCTGATTTAATAGTTACTGGTATTTTTAATTAGGAAAGCAAGTTATCGATAATCTAAAATTTAAGAGAGCAGACCTGTGAAGCAGTAAGAAAGAGAAGGATAGGTAGATGGGAAGAGAGATGGGAGGAATAGAGGCAAGCATTCATGATCTGTATGGCAAAGCTATAACATGGGATTGGTTGTGTTAAGATTTAAGGTTATTTTTAGTATGAAATCAAAAGAAATAGCTTGCTATACTTCTGTCATTCCTAGTCTGGTAGTAAAAAATAATTTGTAGGATGCTAAGTCGATCTCTTATCTGGGTGTCTCTGGTTCTAAGCTTTCTGCTCGTGAGGGCTAATATAAATAGCTGACACCACTTGATTGGGGACACAACTTAGTTTGATTTGATTTGGTTTGGTTTAGGGAAATCCGGGCCATGTTTGTTTTGTATTTGTGAAACAATTTTGAAAAATAATTTTCTGGAAAGAGTTTACAAAATTTGAAAATTTGTTTGGTTGTCTGGTTTGAAATAGTTTTGGAGTTTGGGATGATTTAATTTTTTTTTTTCTTGTTGAATAGATAGGTGTGAGAGAAAAAGTGATTGATTGATATGTAGGACGTGAGAGAAGGAGAGAGGAGAGCAAAAGGTGATTGGTTGATATTTTGGATTTTTTGTTTCAAAAATTTTCAACCAAACAATTTTTTGAAATTTTTTCTCAAAAATTGTTTCTCAAGAGACAAACCAAACAAGGCCCCAATGTTTTTAGGTTTAGGATGGTTAGATAAGTTATGTAGGGGTTTTAGGAATTTTATTAGGGTTAAAGGATATTGCTTTTGAGTTTTGCACAAAAGTGTTGCAAATGAAAATTGAATGGAATAAAAAATAGAATGACAATAAAGATAATAGACAACTTACGGGTTGTTTGGGATATGCTTATTTAGGGTTGGTTTGGGGTGTCCTAAAAAATTGCACTTTTTGTCTTTTTACGAAAAGATGTGCAGAAAAGTAGAGAGGTGATGTGATGGAAAAAAGATAAAAAGATGGATTATATAGTTCATGCCAAACCAACCCTTAGTGTAATTTTTGACTTTTTACAAAAAGATGTGCAGAAGTAGAGGAGTGATGTGACTAAAATAAGTGCACTTATTTAGATCATCCCCAAACAACCCCTTAGTATATCCGTTAGGGTGTCTAGTAATGGAGTCTCATCTCATCATTGATGAGCATAGAAATCAACAATTTGTATTGATGATTTTTGGATAAAACTCTTAACCAAAGAACAAAGCAACTAGACACCAAACAAAGAGAAAATTACTAAAATATCCCTAGTCTTTTAAAAATACAAAAATGCTTGTGAAAATTATAAATTTCCCTAATTGCAAGGTATTAGAGCCATTTGGGACCCATTTGGGCTCAATCAAACTAGTCAAGAATGGTTTTCAATAACATGACGCTACTTTTAGTGCCCATAGGTCCTTTGGTGGATTTGCATGGCTATTTCCCTTTTTTCCTTTTCCAAACATAGAGTTTAAGAGTTTTGTCCTCATCAGCCTCTTTTATAGACTTCTAAATCCCTAATAAAATTAGCCATAGCTATTATACAAACTTAAGCCTTGTTTGTTTCGCTTGAAGTTTGGCTTTTTATTCATTTTTTTTTTTTTTTTGCTTCCCCTCTTATTATCATTTTTTTTCCAATTAAGTTTTTATTATTTGTTTATTATTTTTGGAGACTTTTAGGGGCTTTTTACTCTCTTTTTTTTTTATTATTTTTTAAGTAATGTTAGGGTGGGCCACATTTGGGTACTATCTAATGTAATATATATTACCCAAAAGTTCTGCATTGATTTCTGAGGAATCAGAACAAAGGGCATGGCTTGGGTTCTTTGGAATTGCATGGTACTTGTAGTCTTTTGGGTATTATGGCTTGAAAGGAATGCTAGAGTTTGAGGAGAAATTTGCCGACTTGGAGTCTATTTGGAGAAATTGGTTTTTATCTATTCTTTTTGGCCATCGGTGGCTTCCTCCTTTACAGGGATTTCACTATTTTATATTTCTAGGGATTGGAGAGCAATATGTAGAGCGTGAGATTTTTTGTTTTTGTTTTTTTTTATTTTTTTTCTATTTGGTGGACTTCTTGTTCTCCCTCAGTTGTACTTCGGTGTTTTTATTTTTAATAAATTTTCTTGTTGCTGATAAAAAAAATGTATATCACCGAAAGTATTGTGTTTTTTTATTCTAACAATGAAACGCACAACCAGTGAATTGCCTCTTTCTCTAGTGCTTCAATCATAATATCAAGCCAACCATGACCTTCGTATTCTCTCAATGAGTTCAACACAGTAATCCTGATCTCAAAAAATACCTGGATGCTCCTTGATGCAACATTTATTGGATGGCTAAACAAGTACGATAGGCTTTGGAAGCCCAAAACAAAATCTAAGAGTCCCATGATTGTCAAGAAGCCCTTTTTGTCCAAAAAGAAGTGTACATGGTAGTGTTTAGTAATTAAGGGTGTTTTAGTAATTTTATAATTTCTTAGACATGGGCTCTATGGATTTTATCTTGGGTCAAGTTATTAAATAGGCCATTATATATAAGTTTTATCATGTCTAGATTAATCTTAGTGGTCAAAAGTCAAGTTTCCTATTTTGAAGTTGGAGTAGAATTAGAAGTCATTAAAGTTTCCTATTATGATTAAAGTGGAATTGGGTAGTTGCCAATATTATGAGTTTCAAAATTTGTGTCAGTTCTTACAGAAGTAGGAAAGTATGTTCCTATAATTATTTGTGTAATCCCAATGATTCAATAGAATTGTTGATGTTACGAGAATTTGAGATTGTATTTGTGTGATTAGCCTAACTTTTGCGAGGGTGAAGCATCTCTTCTCTCTCTTCTTCTTTTCTTCTACTTCTTCTCTTTCTTATTCTTTGCTCACATACCCAAGCTATTATTCACGGATTACTATTCACAGCCCATTAAAAGTACACTTCTCAGTCCCGAATCCGTATCTTCTCACCTCCAAATCAACCCTAATCCCTTCCCTACCTATTAGCCTTTAATTTAACGATTCAAAGCCTAATTACTCACTATTTGGGTCCTTAAATAACTTCTGTCTAAAAATCCGGCAAGCCTCCTACATCACGCCCTCACACATAGATTACAAGACGACATGTGATGATTTAATCACCACTACTATTCCACTAGCTATCATGTGGCAGACACCTCATCGCACGTGCCTACACTCCCTCATGTGTTGATCGTCTCACATGTCATAGAGTCACCTCTCTTGACCCAATCTGGTCCTGCCTCTCATGCATATTGCGTTCTTGATCTACGGTCGGCCTGCTCTACTGGCTCACCTAGTTCAATTGAACTGGATCAGACATCCTAAATTTTTCGCTGACTGGTTCACTCTTTTCTTGGCTGGTTCTAACCAAATTTTGACATTTGTACTTATTTTTGGCCTATGTTTTGCTCAATTCCACCTCTTTAGTGTACATCTCACATGGTGCACCTATGTATCTCACCCACTAATACATTTTTTTGCCCCCTTCCAGTGGGGGGAATCACATTTGGTCCTGCATGGCCTACACCGGAAACTATTTGCTTATTGGTCACTCTCTCTAGTGCAATTCAGATGCTCTCCCGCTGGGAGAATTCTCGATCTGTCCATGTCGTGAGCCACTATCTATCTCACTGGGTTTGCTCTGTTCTCTCTGTGCTTAATAAAGTGTATTATTGTAGATGCAATCTATTTTGAATTTTGCCCTTGTTCTCTTTGTTAAGTCACCAATTTTTCCAAGAGCCTAAGCTATTAGGAAATGGGCCCAACAATGTATATCAAGCTATTTAACACCCTTCCTCACGTGCAACCCTGTCTTGCACATGGAGAGACAAATAGAGAATCAAACAGAAGAAGAGGCAAACAATCAAACAAAGAGGAAGAAACCAAACGGGAACAGAATATCAAATGCCAATGGAGAGACTTAAACCTAAGGCCTCTTTCAACGAGAGCTCTGATACCATATTAAGTCACCAATTTTCCCAAAAGCCTAAGCTATTAGGAAATGAGTCCAACAGTGTATATCAAGCTATCTAACACTCTTCTATTTGTATCGGCTTCTGCACTTTGTGTGCCCCGGTTTGTTGTCTAATTTTGTCGTACTTTGCATCTTGTGTGTTGGTTTGTCGGACTTTCCACATTGCGTGCCCCAGCTTGACAGTGTTACAAGAGAAGAATGATTATCTTATTAACCTCAAAAATTAAACACTATTACATAGTTTACCAAGAATAAGTAATGAGTAAAACCCTAATAACAAGTCAAGACAAAACTACCCTGAAACTAAAATTATACAACCAATCCCAAAAAAGTTAATACAACGTTCACAGCCGGATTGTCCACTCTGTTTTCTCTGGCCTTCTGGTGCGATCTCCCTGCACTAGTGTCTTCTCAAATCTTGCACCCTTGCACTCCTCAACTTGGTACTGGATTTCGGCCTGCACCGTATCAGTCAAAGCTGCATTTCTTGTTTACTGCTACATCACCACCACCTCAGTCACCTTCGTCATGTGACTTTCTATTTTTGATTTTCTCTATTTTCAGTTTCTCTTTCCAAACTTGTGTTGGTCTACCTACCTGAGTTTGAGGAGGATGTTAATTTATATTACTAAAAGTATTGTGTTTCCTTATTTTTCTATTTTCTTACTATGGTATTTGGTTAGCACTCAAGGTTTCTTGGTCAGCACTCTATTGTAAGCTTATAAGTAGGCTAGCTCTTCAATAATAGAGATAATCTTGATGCAGTTTTCTTCTTTTCCCTATAATTCTATCATCTGATGTGTCACCTTTGTTGGGAAATCCCCTCAAATTTTCATTCCTTGTGTGAATAGAAATGGGCGAACAAACCACAAATATACCAAGCAATAATATGGCTGAAAATTAAAGGCGACAAAACAATCATAGGACGCCAAATTTATAGGGTTTGGCAAAATGCCTATGTCCACGGGTCCAATTACGAATCAAACTTTTACTATAAAATAATGGGATTATAAGGTATACAATCATCAAGAGAACATTCTTGGATTTAAAATGGCTGTCCGATCTTGGCTTCAAAGATGAAAGAAAAACAAATATCTTTTTTCTTTTCCTTCTCACGCACTCTCTCTCAAGTACACTGTTAGAATTTCCCATCTTTACCTTCACCTACTCCACTACACACTCCACTTCACCTACCTCCACTTCACCACACACTCCACTTCACCTAACCCACTATCACCTCCACTACACCTACTACCACACCTCCACTACACCACTAACACCTCCACTACACCTACTACCACATTTTCTTCTATATATAGATTGTATAGGAATTGTAATTCAACCGAAAAGAATTCAGGGGGTGACTTCATTTTTGGAGCTGGTATAGGTTCAAAGGGATGAGAGAATTAAGGATACCCAGTTACCCTCCAGAAACTTGTTAGAATTTCCCATCTTTACCTTCACCTACTCCACTACACACTCCACTTCACCTACCTCCACTTCACCACACACTCCACTTCACCTAACCCACTATCACCTCCACTACACCTACTACCACACACTGTTTGCAGCTTCTATGGATTCAAAGTTAGGAGACAAAATGTCTCTGTTTTCCTTCTTTTGTCCTGGAAGGCACAAAGCTTCCAAGGAAGCTTTACAAATAAAATATATAATAAACAATTTTGACTCCGAGGAGTCTTTGTGTAGGCCCCCCACTAGGAGGGACACCACTCAACAAATCTCCCCCTCCAAACTTAGGTGGGGGGCACAACCAACCCCGCTTTGCTTCTACAAAATTCATGTTTCTCCTTGGACAAATATTTCGTCATTATATTCGAACCATTCTCATTGGTATGAACCTTCTCAAGTTGAAGCAATTTTTTCTCCAACACATTGCGTATCCAATGATACCTCACGTCAATGCGCTTCGACCTTGAGTGGAATGTCATATTCTTGCTCAAGTGGATAGCACTTTGGTTGTCACATAAGAGAACATACTTCTCTTGTTTTACACCTAATTAATGTAGAAGCCTTTTAATCCATAACATCTCCTTGCATTCCTTTGCTAGTGCGATGTACTTGGTGTCTATGGTAGATAGAGAAACACATTTTCGCAACTTGGATTTCTAAGAAATAGCTTCGCTTGAAAAAGTCATCAAATACCCAGAGATAGACTTCCTAGAATCAATGTCTCCAGCCATGTTTGCATCTGTGGAGCCTTCTAACAAAGATTTTTCATCTCTAAAGCATAAACACATCTTGGAAATGCCTTATGAGAGTCTATTTCACTGCAGCCCAATGATCTTTTCTAGGATTGGAAAGAAATCTACTCACAACACCAACCGCATAAGATATATCCATCTTGGTGCACACCATCGCATACATCAAACTACCAATGGTTGATGCGTAAGGAACTTTCTTCATTTGCTGGACATTGCTTTGAACTAAGTTTGAAGTGATTTACAAGTGGAGTACTCACTGGCTTGGCCTTGTTAATGTGAAAATTTTCAAGCACCTTTTCTATATACCTCTCTTGTGCAGCCCAATGATCTTTTCTAGGATTGGAAAGAAATCTACTCACAACACCAACCGCATAAGATGTATCCATCCCGGTGCACACCATCACATACATCAAACTACCAATGGTTGATGCGTAAGGAACTTTCTTCATTTGCTGGACATTGCTTTGAACTAAGTTTGAAGTGATTTACAAGTGGAGTACTCACTGGCTTGGCCTTGTTAATGTGAAAATTTTCAAGCACCTTTTCTATATACCTCTCTTGTAATAGCCAAAACTTGCCATTTTTCCTGTTATGGGTAATACTCATGCTAGGTATTTGCTTCGCAGGACCCAAATCCTTCATACCAAAGGATTTGCTAAGCTCTTTCTTCAACTTCTCAATTTTGCTCGCATCATGCCCTACTATCAACATGTCATTCATATGAAGTAGCAAAATGATGAAGTCGCAATCTGAGAATTTCTTCACAAACACACAGTGATCAACCATGATCAACCATGAAGGAATCAAATTTCTTGTACCATTACCGCCGTGCTTGCTTCAATCCATATAAACTTGTTTCTAGTTTGCAAACTAAGTTTTCCTTGCCTTTCACTTTGAACCCCTCAAGTTGTTCGATGTAGATCTCTTCCTCCAAGTCACCATTTAGGAAAGCTATCTTCACATCAAGTTATTCAACCTAGTTCAAGCTTGTGTCCAAACCAAGGACAACCCATATAGATGACTTCTTCACTAGTGGTGAGAAGATTTCCACAAAGTCAATTCCTTTTTTTTTTCTGGATAAAATTGTTCACAAGCAATATTGCCTTGTACTTAGGCTATGAGTTTCCTTCTTCTGTCTTCAATTTGTAGACCCATTTGTGCTTGACTGCTCTCTTCTTTCCCTTAGGCAATTTCACCAAGTCATAAGTGATTCTCATGTAAAGATTTCATTTCTTCTTGCATGGCTTTCAACCACTCCCTCTTATGCTTATGAGTTGTAGCTTCTTGATAGCACTCTGGTTCTTCCTCATTTGTAAGCATCACATACTCATTAGGAGAATACCTTCTTGAAAACTAACACTTTCTAGTAGATCTTTTCAATTGTGGTTCTGTTGGTGGGTCAAGAGGTGCTTATTCCTTTCGCTCTTCTAAAGCCATAGCACCATCAGCTACTGTATCACCAACATCTTCTTGAACGTCTCCACCATCATCATTATGCACTGTGGGTGGAGAGGCTGGATCCAAGTTTATTGGATACTCATTTGTGGAAACTGGATTCGCAACTTTGTCAAGGTCTTTCAATGATTTGATCTTCAAAAAGGATTACATCTTTGCTCTGGACTATCTTTTTATCAACTGGATCCCACAACCTGTCCCGAACTCCTCATGTCCATATCCAAGGAAGATACACTTCTTTGTCTTTCCATCAACCTTTGATCTCTCGTCTTTAGGAATATGCACAAATGCTCTACACCCAAACACCTTCAAGTGCACATAAGAAACATCCTTCCCCGTGTCTGGTATATCACCATCAAATGGAGCTGAAGGTGAGAGGTTGATTAGATCAACCGTAGTCCCCATTGCCTCACCCCAAAAGGATTTAGGCAACTTTGCATGAGAGATCATAACCATTAGAAAGTTGCTTACTTATGGCAGCAGGCCTGGTTGAAGTTTTGTATCTAGGCCCCATAAGGATTTCTCATGCCTTACAAAGGTGGTTTAGGGCTTCAGCCATGTACGAAAGAGAAAAAGTCAGACTGATTACCTTGTCCCCCTTGGTGTATTTTGCACTTTTTCTTAGCCTTTGTTTCTGTTGCTGATCAGAAAAATGATAATGAAACAATGAACTGTGAAATATGAATAGTGAGCACACTGTCTGGTGTTATACTGCATAATTACACACATTTATGTACTGTCATTAAACAACTGATGTAATTAAACTAGCCATTTAAGATAATGCTTGATGATGTGAGTTTGGGGTTAATTGCCAAGACCTTCAAATTATTATGACTATCTTCTTCAGACTTTCGGTGATTGTATCTGATTAAAAGTTCTTATTTATTGGGGTTTTTTTTTAAGGGAATAATGAAAGATATGGCTTTTGAATTTCAGTCAGAGCCTGAAAGCAAAGAATGTTTATGCAGCTCTATAGTTCAATGGTTTCATGATATGTTTATTATATGTGGTGAATTTTTGTTTTGATCACTTTGTTTGTTCATATTTGTGCCCCTCAATACAATTTCATTATATTTTTCCATCCAGCAGAAGTAACAAGCATCTCTTAATTTTGTCCTTTCATTTTAAATTTCATTAGTCCTTATGATCAATAACTCTGCTGGTTTTTGAAGTGAACTGGGAAATTTTTACTTAATGGGCAGATCCTCACTTCACTGAACTTCTTTTTTAGCTGAATTGATTTGAACAAATGCTTGTTGATCACGAAGCACTTAGTATTTCTGATGCTTATAACTTGATTCAGGTGTTGGGAGTGTTGTGTGAAGCTCAGTACTTTCAAAACGTTATGCGTGTTGGTTATCGGTTACGATCAACTCTGGTAATTTTTTATTTTTAAGTTTTGCTAACATTCTGTTAAATAATTCTTGTATCATTTCCTCTTTCCAAATTGAAGTTGTTATAAGATTTGAGCTGGTGTGGTTCTTGAGCTGGCAATCATTTTATTTGTTGGTAATTAGAAGCATTGAATTGCCCACTTACCCAGAAAATCCTCAGTTTAGTCTTCTAACATGTACACACATATATATATATATATATGTATATCTTTATTTTCGGGAGGTGGTATTGGGCCTGGGGTTGGTGAAAGGTTAAGGCAGAAAGTGATTGGGTGAGTTCAGATTTCAACTAAATAGTTCAACTTCAAGTCAGTAAAGTAGGTTTATTTACTTTTGTTTAGGTGTATTAACAAGTTTTGTAATATTTTCTGTTAGGTTTAGGTATACTGCTAACCATTTTTTTGTCCCCGCTGAGCTACATGAATGCATCAGCATTGCTCATATTGTTGACACTTTAATTGAAACTCCTTTCATTTTTAGGTTGCTGCTGTATTCCGCAAGTCTTTACGGTTAACCCACGAGAGTCGCAAGAAGTTTGCATCTGGAAAAATAACTAACTTGATGACAACTGATGCTGAATCACTGCAGGTATATTTTAGCTCTTTGACTATGTATATGCATATCGAATTTGCTTCATAATGATGCAATTAATCTGCATATCTAATATGCTTCATAATGAAGCAATTTTCTTTTTGCTGGATGATGAGTACACTGTTCAAAAGTTAACATTATGTATATTTATATTTCTATAAAATTTACTCAGATGCCAAGATGTTTGTTTAGATCTAAACACACTATTGACGTAGATATATGTACTTGTGAGTGATTCTGTGTAAATAAGCATCCGTTGTGTAACTAAAAGACTCACAAATTATCTTGTGGGTGGCTTGAGTAGGACCTTTTATTTTAAATTTTTATGTTGTGCATATATTTTAGTTTTTGATTTCTTATTTTGTTTGAAAATAATATGAAATACATTAATATCATGGTAGAAATTTATTATTTTACAATAACAATTAATTCAGTTTTGAAATTACAGAAGTTTATGAAATCTGACATTATATTTTCATAGTTTAGAGGAAAGATGTGTAGTAATAACAAAAAAATGCCTCTCTTATTGGTGTATAAATGGAAATGGAAATCAATCAAATTCAAATAGGAAGAATAGGCGCATGCGGTTCACACAATAACTGTAACATTATTTCGCTTGTTCTCTTTTATTTGAATTTGATGATGTCTTTCTTTTGCCTTGTATTTGTAGCTACTTTTCCCACTAGAATAATCATATAAAATATTATTTGATTTATGACATACTAAAAAGCATGGACACGAACATGACTTATATGGTGTTCAAGCAGAAAGCTGTCTTGGGCGCTTTACTCTTGGCACCCGTAATCCTTCGATTTCTCCAGCAGAAAGCTATCTTAAAGCGGATCCCGACCTTATACCCATTTTGGCCAATTGTTTTTAGACCGTTAAAATCATTTTCCAAATGTTTTTAGCCGTGTAGAATCCAGTCACTTATATGATGTTCAAGCTCACTTTTCAATTAAAATTTTGTGCTTTCGGTAATTGAGTGACGACAAAGTGGAAATGAGTGGAAATGAGGACAATCCTTTAAAAAAAATCCTATTTTCTTTTCATTTTTGACTTGGTTGTACAAAACATGTCTAGCTGTACAAATTTGTATGGGCTGCACATAAAATTGATGGCCGAACATATTTTGTTTGGCTGAGCAATTTTGTCGAGAATAGGGCTGCAAATGAACCGATCTGTTTGCGAGCTAGCTCTGCTCAATTTGGCTCATTAAGGGCTTGACTCAACTCAGCTATTTAATGAGCCAAGCTCGAGCTCGAATATTAAGCTTATTCAATAAATGAGCTGAGTTTAAGCTCAAATAAGCTCGAATCGTTTATCTTTATTTAAATAATAGCATAAATACATTATTTATGTATTAAATAATATAAATAATAATTTTTATTTAAATATCTTTATTTAAATAAGATAAATAATTAAAAAAATTAACAAGTTGAGTTCGAGCTCAATAGATGAGCTTGATATACAAATGAGCTGAGCTCAAGCTTAGCAAAGCTCAACTCGGCTCGTTTGCAGCCCTAGAAATAGAGTAGTTTCTAGAAGATGGTCCCCTATGCATGTGGAGGTGCGAGAATTGCGGACGAAGCAACCTCTGGGGCTGTAAATACACCTCTTTCAAGAGGAAAATAGGTTGAAAGGTTTTGGAAGGTGTAAGCATAGAGACCAAGGTTTTAAAAAACGGCTGCAACCGTTACGTAACGTCGCTATATAACGGTTGTGGTGGTTACCGCCACCCATTATGGCCGATGTAGCGGTGTGACGGAAATTCACATGTGTAACGGCTGTTTTGGTGTTACGTAATGGCCGTAGCAATATCGTAACGGCCGTAGCGGTTCGTTATACACTGTTACATCCTTTTATAATATTCTGAATAACTTCCTTCCCCCTCCCCAAAAAAATAAATAAATAAAAGCTTACAAAAAAAGAACAAATACCCAAGTGATCAAAGTTCCCAAAACAAATCTTATATGAATTTATTTTCTTTATAATTTTTTAAAAATTTTTATTTCATTACATTGGCATGTAAAATAAAAAATATATAAATAGTAGTTGTATTTATTTTTATAATCATTTTATTTAATATTTAATTATAAATATTCTTTTATTTTGTTACTATAATGTGTTGTCTAAAAAATGTCTTTAAAAAATTCAAAAATATTTTTTATTTATGGCACAATTTTTATTTTTATTTTTATAATCATTTCATTTAATACTTAATTGTAAATAATTTTATTTAATTACCTGTAAAGTGTTGTCTAAAAAAATGCCTCAAAAATAATTTTTGTTTATGGTACAATTTTTATTTTTATAATCATTTCATTTAATAATTGTGAATATTTTTTATTCAATTGGTTCAGGTATTGGTCAAAAATAATTTGTAGGCATTTAAAATCAATTATTTTTAAAGTTATTAACTATTGAAATAAAATGTAAAAAGATCCTTTCATAGTGATTTGAAAATATGAAATATATTGGATTATACTTAAAAATTAACAAAAATTGATCAAAATCTATTTTAAACCCTAATAAATGTGATTCTAGAAGGAAAAAAAAAAATATGCGTATCGGTAAATTTTCTTCAAATTGTGTGGGAAAAAAAAAAAAAATACGGTTCCGGTTACCGCAACCATGACGCTACGGCCTTTATACCCCGCAACTGCAACCGCAACCGTTACAGCGATTGCAACCGCTTTTCGAAACCTTGGGTGGCGACTTTGAGTCTAGTGATGCAGTCCATTTTTGGCATATCTTGTGATTAGTGGATTTTCTATATATTTGGCAGATTTGGACTCTCATTCTGTATCACATTGCACTCGTGAAACCAGACTGGGGGTTTGAATTGTCAGGCACGCTCGGATACACTTCGGTAGATCCCACAATGACACCAACTTGCCAACATAGAAAATTTCAAAAAATGTAGGATACAACATGTGAGAAACATATGCAAAATATACAATTTTATGCTGGCACGATACGACACGACACGACACGGCACGACACGAGTTGGACACTTCCCAACACTTACACACACAAGAAACACATTACAAATTTGAATAAAATAACTTGAGATCCAATGCTTAAACAAATATATATAAGTTATACTTATTCTCATCCTTCACATTTCAAAATTGTTATTTTTTGCTTAAATATTCATATATATGATATATAATAATTATTTCTCTTTATATGACACAACACTTTTATATTCATAGAAGTGTTCGTGCTTCTTAGATGATATATATTTTAGAAATGCATCATTTAGGAATTACTAATATTATTCATTAGGTCCTTTCTCTTAGGAGCTGTTGCTTGGTACAATGGTAAATTCTTTGGCTGCAAAGAATGAAAATGCAAGTCTAGAAATAATGCCAAGCGGTAGGTTGGGATGCGATCCACCATTCCATAAATCCTTGGTAAATATGGACCAATATTAAGGAATAGCTCTTTTATATTTATCAAAAAATAAAAATAAAAATATTAAGGAATAGCTTTTTTATGATTTTTTCTTTTATTATCTATCCTTTTGTTTTTGGAGGGCAGTTTGTTTTGTTTTGTGCACAATATGGAAGTTTTATTTGTACAATTGGAAGTTCTAAATGGAAATGAGGGGGTGCGGCTTTTGTTCAGTGTTTGAGAACATTTAGGGTTCACATGAGGACTTATTGTTGGCTACTGCACTAAATAAAAAGTAAGGTCACTCTTGAAGATATGAAAAGGTAGGACACCACCTTTTTCTCAATTCACACCATTTTGTCAATTCAAATATTAACTACTCTACACAAATCAATTGTTTGGACATCAACTACTAAACAAAAGCTAATTGTTTGAACATCAAGTACCGAACTGAGATTTTGTTTGATAATTGATATCCAAACTATTAATTTTTGTTTGATAGTTGATATTTGAATGACAAAATTGTGTGAATTGAGAAATTTGTTGTGTGCAAATAGAAGCTCCCATGATGGATGTAAGGAAACTTAAGCTAGGGTCGTCGGTCTTTATGGGCTTAGAGGAAACATGGGTTTTGGGTGGGGTGGGAGGATCTGCTGATTATGAATTACAGCAGGCAATAAGTTGCACAGCTGATGAAGCTTTTCAAACTTGGAGGGAAACTATAGCACTACGACCTCTTCATCTGTGAAATATTATCTGGAGTTGCATTCAATCTCTTTTCTTTCTCTCTCATTCGCTCTCTCTCAAATGTTATTTATTATTATTATTATTATTTGACATACATGTCTCAATTGGGACTTGAAACACTGGACCTCCCCTTAAGTTAAAGGCAGTGCATTCAAGCTAACAGTTGGTGGTTTCGGAGTTAGACTGAATCCTTTGATTTGTGGTTACAGACATGCGCTCCCCAACACATGTCAGAGTTATACTGAACCCTATTGTCTTTGTCAAAGTTCTGTTAAATTTACATTCTGTAACTAGTATGGAGATATATTAAGTAGCTTAAGATTAATCTGTATTCGCTTTGGTAACACTAGGATTGCTCTATTCTCACTTTGAAAACAATTAATGTGGAGTCAATAATGTGAATATTCACCAAGCAAATGTCACCTGTAATATTAGAGTGGTCTACCTTCATTTGATGCATATATATAATATTTCAATCTGTCTACATATGTACCCAAGTTTCTTGATCATTTTTATGGCTGAGTCTTTATTTTTTTCTACCTGCAGCAAATATGCCAATCACTTCACACTTTGTGGTCAGCTCCCTTTCGTATTATCATCGCAATGTTTCTGCTTTACCAGCAGTTGGGCGTCGCTTCTCTTCTTGGAGCACTAATGCTAGTTCTTTTGTTTCCTGTACAGGTGCACAGCTCTCTCTCTTTCTCTGTCTGTCTGTCTTCTTTTGTTTTTATGGTATATTTTGGAAAAAAACAGTGCAATATTAAATGTAATGATATTTATTTATTTTTTAATATATTTATTTGTTTGACCCCTCTTAGCATCACTGTAAATGTGAATCCCATTGTTCTAGGTTCACCTTGTTTATTGATCTTTTATCTCTTTTGGCAACATACAAGGTATTTGTTTAAGCAAGCAATTTAAGCTGGAAATTAAAGATTTTTGGAGATGTTCTGGATTTGGTTCTTATCAAAATTACAAAAACTAGGGAAAAACATTGGTGTTTAACTTATACAAAGATTACAAGTACTAATAAAGGAGCAGTAAATCGTGATCTTCAGGGCATGTTTTTTTTTTAATTCCTGACTTATTTGTGAGGTTAAATTTACAATGTATAGTTCAATAAATGAATTACATTCTTTTTGGACCATGTTGTGGCTAGCATTAGTGCCTTTTCAAACAAAATGTTTATATATCAATTAGAAGACTCACTGTAGTAATAAGTTACTCCAGGTACTAGTCATGATAACACTAGACAGAAATGTATGGTTAGAATGATTTTTTTCATTGAAAAAGATTTGTGGAGATTATATACAAAAGATGGGGGATAAAACACATTGGAGGTGTGATATTTGAATGCATCACAAATAGTCCTAAATATTAATTTAAGTTGACCTATTACTATGGAAATTCATGTGCTTTGAAACTCATAGTAGAAATAATCCTAAATCTTACTTGAAATTGACCTAGGACTATGGAAATTCATAGAAGAAAGTATCCTAAGTCCTTGCCTAGAAGGTGATTCTTTCTTTGGTATTACGAGTATATAGCATTTTCTTCTCCAGAAAGGCATTATATTTATAAATGAAGAATCTAATTTGGCTTGTTGGTGGTTATGTTTATTTTAGGGAAAATTGGTGGAAATTCCCACACTTCAGTCGTAGTTTAAGTTAAATCTTGTCAAGTTGTCATAAATTTAAGGGTAATTCTATTTATACACCACTAAACCTCTCATTTCACACCATATTCTCATATTTTCTCAGTTCACACCGCACCTAAATTGAAAAGTCTAATTTTATCTCACTATATACCCTTATTTTTTAAATAATACCAAACTACCCTCTTCTTGAACAAACCCAAACCCTAACGCGAATTACTACCACCACCAACTGTAGCTGTTGCCACCGCTGCAGTCACAACTCTTCGCCTCCAGTCGTCGCCCCTCCACAATCTCCTCCTCCTCTTGCCGCCTCCATCAACCACCGGATCACTACTCTTTATTGTCACGCAGCAAAAGTGGGTCCTAAATCTTAATACAGATATAAGCCATTGGCTATAGCTCATTGTCGTCATCCTCCCTCACCACTGCCTCCAACCACTGTCACCAACCACGATCGCAGATAACAAGCTTGCTTCCCTCTTGCCATCGCCAAATGATTTATTACCCTACCCCTCCATCGCGACCAACCCTGCCATAGCGATTCATTTCCCCACCCCCTCCATTGCAACCCAACCCTCCTCCACTGCATAGAGAGAGAGAGAGAGGGAGAGTCGGAGAAGAAGGCAGTGATTGCCGATGGTAGCTGCGGTTAGGGGTGGGGTTGTGTTGATTGAGCTTATTAATTTATGTAAAGGTTAAAAATGTATTTGACTAAAAGGATAAAACTGTAATAATTTTTTTTTAAAAGATTGTGTGTACTGAGAGAATTGAAGGTGTGAATAGAATTTTCCTAAATTGATTGACTCATGCAATTTCATGGTTATCGAATGTTTTGATCTGGAGTCCTGCTTTAAATTTTACATTTCTTTAGTTATTCTATAATTATTCTGTTATTGACTTTTGGGTAGCTAGTTAATGGTTGTTTTACCTTTATTTTAAATGATCCGTATATGAGGTTGTATTACATTCACTATGTGCACCATTGTCGCATTGATGTGGCACATTATTTGAATTTTTGTATTTCGATCTTTAAAATTTCATACCTTTCATTGTACACGTCCATTTTTGATAAAATTTATATTTTTGGAACCTATTTGTTGAGATCTATCAAACATCACTATTGAATTTGAAATTATGTATATATAAAAAATAAAGAGTAAAATTTTCACTTTTTTGGTCAAAAACTGTGAAATTTCACTCTTGAATACCATTTCATTGTTGACATATTATAATCACCGAAAGGCACTTAGCATATTATATTAGCCGAAAGTCTCTAAGATCTGTAATCATTTTTACGCACTCAGGGATCATCTTGTAATTGTCTTCTTTGTAAACCCTAAATCTTCATTTATAAATAAGGGGTGATATCTCATCATACCCTAAGCTGGTTACCCAAGCTTCATTCATAACTATGAAATTTCACAATTTTTGCGTTCAAATTTTGAAAATTTCAACAATTTCATAGTTTTGTGTTCAAAGCTGGAAAATTTCACAAATTCTGTTTCTAAAATTGTGAAATCTTACACTTTTCGAAGTTGTTTTTAAAGTTGCAAAATTTCACAATTTTTGTGTTCAAAATTGGAAAATTCATAAGTTAAGCTTCTAAAACTTTGAAATTTCGCAATTTTTGGTAACATTTTATAAATAAATAAAAAATGGTAAAATTTTACATGTTTCAAAACCATTTTCAAATTTTGGGAAATTTCACAATTTATGTGTTATTTGAGAATTTTCACGATCTTAGTTTCTAAACACTATGAAATTTCACATTTTTGCTTTCTAAAACTATAGGATTTCAAATTTTTTAAGTTGAGAAGTTTTTGAAAACTAAATAATTTCATACTTCCTTTTGTCCTTTTGCATAGTTTCATAGTGAAATTTCTTATTATTCAAAATTGTGAAATTTATGAATTGAAGCATTAAAATTTTCATTTCAAAACAGCTCATTTTATTTCAAAACTTTTAGGTAGTGTGAAATTTCTTTAGTTTCAGTTTGACAACAAACAAAAAAGGTTAATTAGGATGTATTATTCCTTGTTTGTAGCAATATGTTAATGATGGAGTGGACACAATATTAATGGAAAACTAACTTAATCATGTTGTAATTCCATTAATTAACATTAAAGAAACTCTGATAAATTAATGTTTAGAGTCAGGCAACACAATTTTCAAACTGCTACACATCAGCTGCCACATGAGATACACATCCACACCTAAGGGAAATCAATAACAAACAACTCAACCAATCCGTCATGCATGTTACATGGATTTGGATACAAGTGTTGGGTGTGGATGCGTGTATCTAGAGGCCAAACTCATCAAACCTCAAATTTAAGGATATGTGGATTTGGCAAAAAAAAGTCCTATTTTTATATGTTTAATTAGTATATATTTGATGAAATAAAATAGATTTTATTAATTTTGTAGGAATTATGCAATAATATATACATATAATGATTGTGTTAAATACAAATATATAAGAAGCGTAACGCCCTCAAAATTCATAAGATCTGACTCACCGAATATAACCCACATTTCCCATTCATTCTCATTATTCAACTGAATTAATCACGTGGAAGCTAATGACAATTTCTAGGATAGATCGATGTAAGATAATTCTCTTTTACTATATCTCATTGCAATTGATCATAGAGATTACACAAGTGGATCACATGCATTGATACATTCACAACCCTAGAGCTTGAATCTATAGCATGTGATATGATAATTACTAAAGCGAATAAATTCAAATATATGCCCTAACAACTACAAGTCTTTCAAGGGCCTTGCCCTATTACAGCAAAAGTGGGTCTCAAATCTTAATACAGATATAAGCCCTTGGCTATACAAAAAGAAGAAAACAAAATGAGTTTTGAGCTCCAAAATCCTCCCTAGCCATCATCTCGGTGGAGGCACACTGTCAACACTTGAAAATGGTTTCCACATAGGGATGAGAATAAAGCCCAGCAGAGATAATCTTAATGAAGTGCATGAGTCTTAACAATATGATGATTATGAGATGCAATGATGTGCCATGCTCAATATATAAGTTTTTTTTTTTCCAAAATTCATGTCATGCTCTTTTCGAAAATCATAAGCCAATCAAAAGCTTTCACTCCAATAAAAGACGGGGCGGTAAATATGACTCTGACAATCCCTAAGTACATATTTGCTAGTAGTCTCTTAGAGCACTACCGAAATCCATTTCACTATGGACCTCAAGCCAACTTAATTCTCAACAAACTACACTCCTTAATTGGATTTACCTAGGTATTTACCCCATTTCTCAACACATTTCAACTGTTCTCAATAAACCAAATACAATACATTTCTCAAAATGCGATATGAAAGTTATATTATGAATGCATGAGATATTCAATGATATGCTTGCTTTTCAATTATTTCAATTTCCCTAATTCGCATGTAATTTCTACAACAAGTCAATGCAATTCTCCACCGATTGCCAAAACAATTGTCTCTATCTCAATATTCCAAAATAGGCAATATATAGAGCGTAATTCAACATTTCAAATTCTTTGATACAATAATTGATTTTCCAAGAATCTTAACGATTCCAAAACACAATTGATATTCGTAATTTTTCCAAAAATTCATTGAATTTCTCAATACTCAATTACATTCTCCAATTTCATAAATTCTAGGGTTTGAGGAAAATTTGGGGATTTCTAGATTGAAGAACAAATTTCTCAATTTCACAAGCCATGGAGCATTATAAGTAAAACAATTTGAAAGATTGGTGATCATATGAGAATTTCCCAATTTTTTGCATTATACTCAATATAAACAAAACCCTAATTTCTCAAACGTAATTAACTATTAAAATAACACATAATAAAGCTAAAATACATATACTACGTTAAGAAAATCCCTACCTCAAAGATTAAGAGAGAAAGAAAGCAAAAGCCCAAATTTGACTTTGTCAGATTTTCAATTCATTCGGTCTAAACATAGCCCTCGACATGCTTGTCGTTTTGATCTCAAGAACTAGTATCTTAATCTTGATAGATTTGTTTGTGTGATGAATTTAGTAGGGTTCAATGAGAGTTTTTAGAGGGAAGATGGAGAAAAGGAGACTTTAGAGAGGGGGAGAGAGAGAGAGAGAGAGGGTTGATAGAATGAGAAGAAAGAGGGACAGAAAGGCCAATAGAAGGCTGATGGGCACAAAATTTGAGGCTTTCATGTGCCTGGCTGCACATGTGGTGGACCCCTTCCACATGTGCGATGCCCTCCGGCCACACGTGCGGTCTAAAGCAGTGGAGAAAACTCTTACTGAACCAATGCGCCGCACGTGCGGGCCTATTGACTGCACCTGCGGGACCCTTGCTGCACGTAAGGCCCTTTCCACCGCACGTGTGGAAAACTGCCTAGAATCCAAAATGCATACTGCATAAGGCCGCACATGCAGAGACACCTGTGGCCAAAAATCTACCAAAGGCAATTCCACACTCTCCCGGTTCCGTCCTTACGCTCGAAACTCAAAAATTAAACTCGACAAGAAGGTTAGGCAAGGTACGAACCGCAATCACTATGATGTTACACGATGCACAAAACTCCAAAAACAAAACAATAAGTCCGAATAGTTGCATTCAAGTCGGGTCAACGGCCTGGGACATCACAAGAAGTATCCGAACAACAAGCATATAGGCTAAACCCTTGTCTAAGTGTTGGGTGTTTGACACGGGTATTTGATTTATTTTAGAGCCCATGTAACATAGCCCGTCATAGTCACCTGTAACTTATTCAGGTCATCATGACCCGTGAACATCCTCCCCTCACACCATGGCACCAACCACTACAACCAATGCAAACCAAATAAAATTCAAATCCCCTTCTTCTCCTATTTAGTCTCATAACATAATCACCATCCAACCACTCAAACACAACTAAATTGCTATTTTGTATTAAGCAACTAATCACACTTCTTGGTCATCAAAAAACACACGATGTGTTAACTTTCCTTTATTTTTTTTTTTGCTTTTTTTTTTTCGAATTATTATTATCATGAAAGCATTCTCATATCTTTCATGCATATAGGTGATCCATATATTTGTATATATCTATCTATATATATAGAGAAAAGGAGTTTTGGGTTGATTCTTCACCTTACCTCGAAAAATGACAAAAAACCCAGTAGTATCGTCGCATTATCACTGAAAAAGGGCTAGGTGGCTACCTCACTTCACAAACTCGAACTTTTGCTTAAATCGAAACTGCATGAGGTGATTGTTGCTGGTAGATAAGAGACAGGAGTTTTAGCTGGGAGGTCTTTTTAGAGGACCTTGAGTGGAGCACATTATATTTTGGGCATTTTGGTCATTTATTGGGGAATGGTTTTTCACGGGTTATGACAAAATGAATGAGGTTTGATGTTGTACTAGTCCCATATGTAGGAGCTTCGGCCAGAAAGCCCTTCATTTTTTACCGAGTGGTTATTTATTAATTTATTTTTAATAAGCAAATAGAATTGTATTAGAGAAAGTACCAAGGGTGTGCCACCCTTAATCTCTTATACATAAGAGAGGAAAGACCAATAAAATTCCCCTACAATACAGGAACCCCCACATGCAAAATACATGTCAGGCTCATTCAGTGAGGTTGCCCTATTGTGTCAAAAGTCTTGTTTGTCTTCCAACCCTAACTCAATAGGGTGGATTCTAATGTATAGAAAATATAAGTGGCATAAGTCTCTCCTTTGTCTTAGTTCTCTTCTTAAATTTTTCAGTGAAGTAGTGCCTTAATTTAGTTTGTTGTTACAAAATGTATTTTCGGATTCTCTTTCTCTGATATAAATATGCTTTTTGTAGATTCAAGATATTTTTACTTATACTTTATCCCATTATATAATTTTATCCTGAATAATGTTGTCTCTAACTTTTGAATTTTATCTTGTGGGGACAGACCTTTGTGATAAGCAAAATGCAGAAACTCTCCAAGGAAGGATTGCAACGCACGGACAAGAGAATTGGCCTCATGAATGAAATTTTGGCTGCCATGGACACTGTGAAGTATGGTTCATTTTGTGAATACTTTATCTGAGACTTGCGCAGATTGGAATCTTGAAATAATCATTTGACCCTTTGTTTCATAAATGCTTCAGATGTTATGCATGGGAGAATAGTTTCCAATCCAAAGTTCAAAGTGTTCGGACTGATGAGCTGGCATGGTTCCGGAAAGCGCAACTATTAGCAGCGGTATGACAAAACTCATTGAAAATTTCATAAATTTTCCTTAGTCGAATTGAATGATGTGTTAGCTTTTATTCTAGTGTTATTTAGAAGAATAAGGATTATATGTATATGCTATTATTCAACGATATGTAACATATTTTTACGGTATCATTAACTGCCAAAGAAATATGATCTCCTCTGAACCATTGTTATTGATATCACTAGGATCCGGTATATCTACTGCATGACATGCAATTACATGCACATACATGTGTGTGGTTCCAGATTCCTTGTCCTTTTATTTCAGGGATTACAGCTTTGATACAAGTTTTCAGTGTCAACCATCATTTTGTTGCTTCTGAAAAGTGATTTTACAAAGGTAGAATCAAATCACTATTTTTGAGATAGCAAATCCACAACTTATAAAGCAAATAGAACACATAAATTGATTAAATGATTAGGATCCTGGCTAGTATTTAGGTTGAAATAGTATTGCTAGTTTAGTTATTCCATAAAGAACTCCTTGGTAAGAAGCACGTGTATTTGATATGCATTAGTCATGGGTTATCTGACCCTACTAAAATTTAACATTTGGTCTTCTCTCCACCCTTTCTATGCACACTCTATGTGCACAATATACACATGCACATTCGCATACATACAAACATGCATATTTTTATTTCATGGCTTCATTGATCACAGAGACAGTAGAATTGTTGTCTTTCTGCTTGCACTCCACACCCCCCTTGTTTTGTTCATTAGTTGGGCCCGCCTCATGTGCACTTGTAGGTTCTATGACTAAACACAAGGAGTAGAGAGATATAGAGATATAGAGAGAGGTTAATCTTTAATGCATCTGCAAATGTCATACTCGTAATATTTATGTTTCTTTCCTTCTCAATTTTGATAAATCATTCATATATGAAAGGTATATATTTATATATTTTTTGAATTCATATTGTTTTAGTATATAAGATTTTGATACTGGCAGTAATTCCTGCGTTTTGGATAAGTTGTAAATTTGCAAGTCCGATGTTTGTAACACTCAAAATTTTTCTTATTTTCTTTATTTCTTTATTTCTTTTTTTTGGCCTTTTAAAAAATCAAAATTCTTCTAAAAAATCAACCACCCCTCTCTCTGAGGCCTGAACCATCACAAAATGACCACAATGCCACCAATGAGCATCTACTACTGCTATTATTTCCACCAATCAATGGCCACCTCAGTACTAATTGTAAATGACCAGCATCACAATTAAAATCTCCATACTGCTCCAGCAGCAAACTCAATGACTAGCCACTCCGCACATGTTACAAAATCATCAAATTCATTTTGTTGGCATTACCATTACCCTGACTTTTTGTTCTATCTCTTCGCCACCCATCTACCACAGCATTGGAGCCCCCATCACTTATGGAAATATTTTTCTCTCCACCTACATCAACCACCAATTCAATGCTGCAAATAAGCACTGAATAAAAGAATAATTTATATACACATATGTATGTGTATGTAAGTGTCTAACACATTATAAGAATGACTAATTCTATTGAGCTTAGAATCTTCTGTGTATCATTCATGTACTAAACTTGTTTAAAGCTTGGATCTTTAGAGGGACAAAGATTACAAAGATTAAAGAAATAAAGAACAAAGTTTTAAAAGCTATACCGAGGCTCGCCTCGAGGCAAGGCTAAGGTAAAACACATCAAGGCTTTGATTTTTAGGTTATACTTCCCAAAGGCTTGTGCATCATTGTTTGAGGCATGCGGCTTAGTTGCACATTGTATGCTTTTTCTGCATGAGCAATGCTATACATAATTCCATTTCTTACCTCATTTTCTTACTCCTAGACACAAAGGAATAGGGCCCTTGGGATCCACTCACTTGTGTCTAAGAGTGAAAAAATGAGATAAGAAATTGGATTATATTTAGCATTTTTCTTTGCGCATAAGCATATGAGGAGTATGCATATAAAGAGCTTAACCTAGGCTCTTGTTCAATTAGTCTAGTAGATGGTTTAAACAAAAAAAATAAAAATAAATAAAAAATAACCTCTTTTGCAACTATATTCCATAGACTAATCAAGAAAAAAAACAAAGTTAACACTCAAGTGATTAGCTCGATCACTAGAGCTAAGAATATCAATTTCACTTTTATTGAGGGAAAACTTTCTTCTCTATAGTGAAAAGTTTGAGGGCTTGAGGAGAAAATATTTACACCTTTTTATATTTAATATTTAATAAATTTTAGTATAAAATATTTAATTTATTTACTAAATATAAAAATCGAAAATTCGAAATGCTTACGCCTTGATGCCTTAAGGCTTATGCCTTCCCTCATGAAGGGTAAAACGCCGCACGTTACATATTCACCTTTAAAAACTTAAAGAAGGAAGTTATACTAAGGCCTCGTTTAGAATTAAGTAAAAGAGTGAAGGGTAGATGCTAAAATAAAGTATGAACTACAAGTCTCAGCTTTTTCTTTTATAGTACATATACAGGTATATGTACTCATAACATGTATCTGGACACTTAAGGGAGTTATTATTTTATTGGTAATGGAGGGAAGAAAAGGAAATGGTAAACCTATATAAACAAAGAAAGTTTGAGGGAAAAATGGTCTTATGCCTTGCCTCACGAAGGGTAAAACGCCGCACGTTACATGTTCACCTTTAAAAACTTGAAGAAGGAAGTTATACTAAGGCCTCGTTTAGAATTAAGTAAAATAGTGAAGGGTAGATGCTAAAATAAAGTATGAACTACAAGTCTCAGCTTTTTCTTTTATAGTACATATACAGGTATATGTACTCATAACATGTATCTGGACACTTAAGGGAGTATTATTTTATTGGTAATGGAGGGAAGAAAAGGAAATGGTAAACCTATATAAACAAAGAAAGTTTGAGGGAAAAATGGTCCAAGGAAGGTAGAATCACAAGTCATGAACCTACTTTTATACAAGGTATACAAGTTTTCACAGTTTCACCTATATTTTCCTTGTCTGGCTTCCTGAATATTTTTCATTCTGTCCTAAAAATGTGTGTATGTTGCTTTATTTTTGAATGTACAAAATGGAAAATTCGAAGTAACATCCTTTGCTTTCCTATGGTACACTTCACCACAAAATGCGTTGCAAATGCCATAAATGTTTAAGTCTATATACCCAATCTACCCTCTTAGACCCCCATCTAGTGGAGACTAAACTGGGTGTACTTCACTTTTGCTAATGGGAATGTTAGTTGAGCTGTGCCAAAAAGGTCAAGTGATGTGAATTTATTGTTGCTTCTTGAACTGTGCCTTTTCAGTCATGACCCTCATTTTGTGACTAAGGGTGTAATAATTTTCTGCATGCTTTTTTCTCTTCTTTTGCAGTGTAACAGTTTCATACTAAACAGCATTCCAGTTATTGTGATTGTGATTTCGTTTGGGTTGTTCACTTTGCTTGGAGGAGATCTGACACCTGCAAGAGCATTTACATCACTTTCTTTGTTTGCTGTGCTACGGTTTCCACTATTCATGCTTCCCAACATAATAACTCAGGTTCTGACTGTTTCTTAGCTTTCTGACTTTCTGTTATCATCTCACCCTCCGGTGAAATATCTTACTTTTTTATTTTTATTTTTTATTATGCATCCTTATTATTGTTGGAGGGTTATATAATTTGTTTCATGGGAAAGTTTACTTTATGTTAATTTTGTTTATCTCATAACTTGTTATGACAGTTTGATGTTTGTAGCTCACCCCATTCCCCAACTGCTAAAGTTTTTGGGGTAAATGGCTGTTTAACATGTTATCAAACCTTTTTGATTTTGAGAAGTCTTGGGTTCAAGTCTTTGTTCGCATTTGTTCCCCCATTCTGTTTGTCTCTGTGCACTCCAGTAAATTGGTCAATCCGCTCCTTGAAAAGCAAGAGGGGGTTGCATTTAAGGGAAGGTGTGAGAGCTTCATATATATTGTTCAATCCATTTCCTAACGACTTAAGATTTCAGGACAAGTGGTTGTTTAACCCTTGTTAGAAAGGTACACCTTGGAAGAGAGCCATTTTAGATTGGAGTATTTTGTTTCCCAACAATTCTTATTGTTCTTTCTATATGTTGATCTGTCTTTGCAATCAAATTTAAACACCCATGTAGTTAATTCTTGCAACAATAAATTTGATTAAGCATTAATGAAGCTAGCCTTGTTTATTTTTTATTTATTTATTTATTTATTTTTTGTTTGATTTATTTATTATTATTATGAGGGTAAATTACCAATAGGTTCTACTTTTGGGACTTATTATCTAGTAAGTCCTATTGATAAATTCATCAAGTCTTTCTTGTTTTTATGAATAAATTTACAGTGATAAATTTATCATTCAGGACTTGTAGGTAAATAAGTCTAGTTAACAGGGCTAATTGATAATTGCCCTATTATTCATTTATTTTGGTATTTGAAACTGTTTGGTGTCTTGATTCCCTAACTTCACTTCTAACATAGCATTATTGGATGATAAAGTTTTAATGTTTGATGTCTACTAGCAATAGAAAATGCAAGTTATACTGGAGGTGTAACTTATTCTTTTAGAATTAAACCCCTTCAAAACTTTGGTGCTAAACTAGAACATACATAATATTCTTAGCTATTTCTTTTTGGGCTTAACAATTTTATTGTAATTTTTTTGTGATTTGTTATTTTCCCATTTCTTATTCTTGTTAACTCAGCTTGATTCATACAACTTTCGTTGTAGTAGCCATGACTTAATAAGTTGTTCTCGATATATTTCCTTTGAATATGATCTGCCTTTTTCGGACGTAATGATAAGTTTTAGAATTTAGTTTACATGCCTTTTATGGGTGAATTTTAATTTCAAAAAGTTTTATTGAGCTTTTAGTAATTTGTAGGTGTATTTAGTTTTTTTTTTTTTTTTCCCTCCTTTTTATCTATTGTTGTCAGAGAATCAATTTGGGTTTATGCCTTGTAGGTCAACAATTGAAGGGACCTATCTTTTGAGGAGAGTAATAAAAAAAAGTATAGAGAAAAGAAAAGAGACATTCATTTGATTTTTATCAATCTTGAGAAAGCATATGATAGAGTGCCTCGGGATATAATCTAGTGGGTGTTAGAGAAGAAAGGAGAGACAAAAGGTTATATTGATGTGATTAGGGATATGAATAAAGGTGTGGTGACCACTATTAGATTGTCTACTAGAGAGACAAGTGAATTTTCAATTATTGTAGGGTTACACTAAGGATCAACTTTAAGTCCTTATCTTTTTGCTTTAGTACGAGAAATATTTAGGATGATGTGCCATGGTGTATTTGTTTTGCAGATGATATCGTGTTAGTGGATGAGATTAGAGGAGTTAATACTAAGTTAGAGACTTGGGGAGAAGCACTTGAATTTAAAGGATTTAGGATAAGTAGAACTAAGACAATATATATGGAGTGTAATTTTAGTAATAATAATAATGGAAATAGAGGAGAAGTGAATATTGAGAACCATGAACTGCCTAAGAGTGAATATTTTCGTTATTTAGGATCAATTATCATAACAGCTGGGGAGATTGAAGCAGATGTGGGCCATAGAATTAAGGCTGAGTGGCTTAAGTGGCGTAGTGCGTTTGGGGTACTCTGCGATAAACAAATACCCACTAGACTAAAAGAGAAATTCTATAGAACGATTGTTAGACCAATGATGTTTTATGGGTCAGAATGTTAGGCAACAAAGAAACAACATGTAGATAAGATGAGTGTTGCTGAGAGGAGGATGCTAAGTGGAGGTGTGGCAATACTAGAAAAGATAGAGTTAGGAATGAGTATATTCGAGAATGAGTAGGAGTAATATCGATAGAAGATAAGTTAAGAGAGAATACATTGAGATGGTTTGGTCATATACAGTGGAGACCAATAGAAGCAACTGAAGAGATGCAATATAGTGACGGTAGATGGAAGTGTTAGGGGAAGGGATAGACCTAGATTGACGTGGACTAGTATAGTACATGGAGATATGAGCTTTTTAATTTAACTAATGAAATAGCCTTGGATAGAGTCAAGTGGAGAAGAAGGATTCATGTAGCTAACCCCATTTGATGGGACTTAAGGCTTGGTTTGGTTTAGTTTATCTATTGTTGTATACTTTTTTCATGTTTATCCTTTCCTCCATTTATTGGTCAAAACTTTCTTCTTCAAGAAAAATCCTTGTAAAAAATGATGTGTTTTTGCATCTGATGCCATTGTAATTTTACAGGTTGTAAATGCAAATGTCTCCTTAAAACGTCTGGAGGAACTTCTCTTAGCTGAAGAGAGAATTCTTTTACCCAACCCACCCATTGAACCGGGACTTCCGGCCATCTCAATCAAGGACGGATATTTCTCTTGGGATTCAAAGGTCAGCCTCATAACCTTATTGATTTTTACAGATACACACACACATATAATACATGTGTACATAGTCCTATTCTAGGAGTAAGGTCGCTTTTTTATTGATCAATTTATTTTTCCAATTTTTTAAATATGTGCATTTCTTAGTAGTTTGCTATCACATATATGTGAAGCCCTTGTCGAGCTAGTTCAACTTCTTAATTGATAAATATGATATGTGATCTCAACCTTGGAGGAACTCAAATTAAGTGTAATGAAGAAAATGAAATAAAAGAAAAGAAAAGAGGAAGAATAGACATAGACAAGAAAAATGATGTAATACGACATGAAGAGAGATAGCCAGGATATAGGTTCTCTCCCTTATAAATGTATTTATACTGCATATGCAATATCCGATGGAGTGTGTGAGAGAGATATATCAGTCTCGCTACAAGTATCTGGCACTTTCCCTTATCCACCAGATCACCAACACACACTACTACTGAGTTAATGATTGTCCTCAATAGGAGTATCCATTGGTCTATAACCTAACATGCCTATTTTTTCAGAAAGATCTAGATGTACTTTATTTGACAGATAATAATGCTCTTATCTAATCTAGAAATTTCAATCCTAAGAGAGTATCGCAATGGACTTAGATTTTTGATCCCAAACTCCTTGGCTAGAAGTATTTTTAGCTGAGGCACTTCCTTCATATCATTACTTGTCAACTATGTCATCCACAGACACAATAAGAACAGTGATCTTATCTCTATCTTGTTTGTTGAACATAGTGTGATTTGCATAGCTTTGCTTATGTCTAAATCTCAGCATAGCGTTAAGAAGTTTGTCAAACTAAGCTTCAGGAAACTGTTTCAATCTATAAATGCCTTTTTCAATTGGTAAACCTTCCCTTCAGTAGACAGATGAAAAACTAGGAGGGATATCCACATCACTTCTTCCAAATCACTGTGAAGAAATGCATTTTTCACATGTAGTTGCTACTAGGGCTAACCTAGATTTGTTGCATTAGAAAGTAGACATACAGTTTGTCTGTCATAGGAGCAAAAGACTTCTGATCCCTTTGCAACCAGCCTTATGCTGTATTTCTCAACTGTTCTATTTGCTCTTTGCTTGATAGTACCAATTTGCAACCCAAGGTTTTTCTCAGTTGGAAGAGTGACTAACATTAAAGTGTCATCCTTGCTCAGAGCTTTTATCTACTCTACCATAGCATCATTCCACTTGGGATTACTAAGTGCTTTCTCCTATTAAACAGACACATAGCAAAGGATGAAAGGCCTACCCTCTCTATATCTCTAATGCTACCTTGGTCTTCTTTATTGAAGTGCCTACTATCTTCGTAGAGGTCAACAACCAACCACCTCTAACACCTTAAAACCCACACATTCTTTCGTATTCTTCAAGACTCTCAGGTGAGAATTAGCGTGGAGGACGAATTAGTTTGGAAAGGGACCTTGAATGGTTTTTTGTGGGTCTTTTTCTTCTATGATTCCTTGATTAGAGGATGTGTTATGGATTTCCATTGGAAGAGGGTTCGGAGACGTAAGGCTCCTTTCAAGGAAGCCATCCTGACGATGGATAATTTGGATGTGTGAGTAAATTTGTGTGGGAGAACTTAGATTGGTGCTAAATTAAAGGTGAGGGGAGTGTTAATCATCTCATCCTTCACTGTTTAGTAGCTAGGGAGGTGTGGAGGTCTGCGTTCTCGATTTTTGGAGTGGAATGGATGATGCCTTGCTCAGTCCAGTATTTGTTTGCATCACGGAGTGGTGGTTGTCCGAGAGGTAGATATCGAAGGGCGTGGAAGGGGACTTCTCTTTGCCTCATGTGCTGCTTATGCAGTGAAAGGAATCAGAGATGTTTTGATAATTGTGAGATGTCTAGTTTTGTTTGAAAGGCACTTTGGTTGTCCCCCTGTTTGTTTTATTTATTATTATTTTTTATTTTTTTAATTATTCTTTTGTGGTTTATGGACAATTTTCCATTCTTGTTGCAGGATTTTGTTGATTTTTTGGAAGAGTTGTATGTCCCTGTAGATACTTAGATGGGATTCAATTTGGTCTTTTGGAAGAATGATATTTAATGAAATTGTACTTACTAAAATATATATGTATATATTTTTGGTTGAAATGCTACACAATGGTTAACTTCTGCTTATTAATTTTTTATTTTACTTTGAATTCAGGCAGAGAAGCCCACATTGTCAAATATTAATTTGGATATAGCAATGGGTAGCTTGGTAGCTGTTGTTGGAAGTACTGGAGAAGGAAAGACGTCACTCGTATCGGCAATGCTTGGAGAGCTTCCTCCAGTAGCAGATGCAAGCGTTGTTATCAGAGGAACAGTGGCTTATGTCCCACAAGTTTCATGGATTTTCAATTCAACCGTAAGTAAAAAACATGCTTGTTTTATACTGATCTAAGTGTCTAAGCAAAATATCTGCCATTTTAATACTTCCTGGGTTCTATGATTGATCAGAGTCATTGGTGATGGTGCCAAGCCAACATAAGTTATAAATATGTAACCTACATGGTTCAAGTGGAAAATGATCTCTATTTTTGAAACAATTTGGGCAATATAGAGTATGTTGTCCACTTGGTGTTAAGGGCTTTATATCTTATAAGTTTGTGACATTCAATTTCAATATAAGTTTGTGACATTCAATTTCATTTTCAGGTACGTGAGAACATATTATTTGGGTCTGTCTTTGAGTCTGCAAGATATGAGAAGGCAATAGATGTTACTGCGTTACAGCATGACCTTGAATTGCTTCCTGTGAGTACAAGTGCAGAGTATTATTACTTCTCTCATGAATGCGCAGTAGTCTTATATTATTATTGATGAGTTGCTTGTAACCTAATGTCTTGTGTGCCTCTCATGCCTTATTTACTAGGGAGGTGATCTTACTGAAATTGGTGAAAGAGGGGTTAATATTAGTGGTGGTCAAAAGCAAAGAGTGTCAATGGCAAGAGCTGTATATTCTAATTCAGATGTTTACATATTTGATGATCCTTTAAGTGCTCTGGATGCTCATGTTGGTCGGCAGGTAATTACTTCGTTTTTAATTAATAATTTTATAATCACTTCAAATCACCTATCATTGTCGCATATAGTTTTTACTTGTTGAGTCTTAATTTTGTAGTATGCTGTTATGTTACAGCCACATTATTCCTTGACCTCTGGGCAATCATTTTTCAGTCAAGTTATTCAGTTTATATATTTAGCGCAAATGCATCATATAGATGAATTTTATAATATATGTGCATGTGTATAGAAATGTCTCTGGTGAGAGATTAAGGTTGCGTTTGGTTCTCTTTTGGAATTTTGATTCCAATCAAAAAATTTCAAAACTCAATTCAAAAATTATTTTCAAAACCATAACCAAACAAACAATTCAAAATTCAAAACCAAACTCTTTTTAAAACTCTATTTAAAAATAAAAATTCAAAATTTTTTTTATTTTGGTTTTTAAAATTATTTTTAGAATCGTTATTTGAGTATGGAGTCGTGTTTTGAGTGTTGAGTTATATTTTCAATTTTGAGTTGTATTTTGAAATTTTTTGAAATTATTTTCTTTTTAATATTTTACAAATTTCTTAATTTTATTTTTTTAAGGTGAATATTTTATATTTTAAATATTTATTTACTTATTTATTTTAATGTGCGCTATATTTCATACATTTGTGTGTTGTATTTTTTAAAAATATTTTAAAAATATTTTTTAAATATTAAAAAATTAAAAAAAATTACTTTTTTATTTTATAAATATGTTTTTAACTATTTTAATTTTTTTGTTATGTGTTTGGTTACGATTTGACTGTGGAGTTTTGAAAGTAGTGTAGAGTTTCAACTCAAAATTCAAAAACTCAAAACTCAAAATACAACTCAGAACTCTTTTCAAAATTAAAAAACTATTTTCAAAACACTTTTCAAAACTCATAACCAAACAAATTTTATCTTTTCAAAACTCAACTCACAATTCCACGCTTAAATCACAACTCCGCACTCAAATCATAATTTCAAAACTAAACCAAACGTAGCCTAAGTAAAAACCCTTGTAGAGAGCTACTGGATGACTGATGTTAACTGTTTCTTCGTAAACTGTAATTATGAAATTTTTGCTGCATGAAAGGAGTTGTTGTATGGATGTAGCATAACTTCTTTTTCGTTTTTCTTCACTTTCCTTTGTCATTGACCAGTGTCATTTGCACCTGCAGGTTTTTGAAAAATGCATTAAAGAAGAATTAAGAGGAAAAACAAGAGTTCTAGTCACGAACCAGCTCCATTTTCTTTCACAAGTTGATAGAATTATTCTGGTCCATGAAGGTATGGTGAAAGAGGAAGGAACCTTTGAGTACCTCTCAAATAATGGCGTGCTCTTCCAAAAACTGATGGAAAATGCGGGAAAAATGGAAGAATATGTGGAAGAAAAGGAAGATGATGAAAACGCCAGTCATGAAACCGCAAAGCCTGTTGCTAATGGAATGACCAATGAGTTGCCTAAAGATGCAGCCCAAACAGATAAGAAAAAAGAAGGAAAATCTATTCTTATTAAGCAGGAAGAGAGGGAAACGGGTGTTGTCAGCAGAAAAGTTTTGAAGAGGTAAGGTGGTGAGCAACTTGTCATGTGCACCAAAATGCACTCTCTTGTTTATCTTCTCTTCATCTGCTATAATTTAGACTGATGCCTACAAAAAAATAAAAATAAAAACAAATTGTTTCTTTTGGATTACCAACATGCCCCGGCTTGTTCTAAAGTTTAAACTATTAGCTAAACACGGACAATTGTAAGAAGGTGTTGTGTGTGCTGTACACTTCTTGAGACATGCCGAACACTCATTAAACATGTACTGTTATTTTTTAATTTTTTTTTTTTTTTGATTCTCTAACACGCTTCGAACACTTGGGGAACACAAGTGGCCATCGTTTAGACACGCATAACAAATTATAACTTCGAACAAAATAACTTGGTATACAATGATGAAAGAAAATTAAAGTAAATTTATACCTATTAACCTAGTAAATTGTTAATCCCTCCATTAAACTTTAGAAAATTAGTGTCACATTGCATTTTTTTATTATCTTTGAATGATATATTCATATATATGACATATATCAGATATATAAAACTATATAATTTGAGTGTCCCCCATGTGCCAGGTCCTGCATTTTTCAAAAATTGCTGTGTCATTGTCTTCTCCAATCTTCTATATTGTTATCTTTAGTTTTTAGGTGCTTCATCATTTTGGTAGATACATAGTCGAGTTGTTGTACAGCCCCTTGTGTACTTGCTGCACGTTAGTTTTTGTCAGTTCTGATGAAAGTTTTACTTGCCTAAAAATAGTGATAGCTTTTAGGTTTTTGTTCAGTTTACTGACATAATAGGAATTTGTTAAAGGATGTGCCTTCATATAATGACTTTGTTCATACAATTCCTTTGTCTCTTTATGATGGTGGTATCATTTCACCTTCTCCTGTACTCCTGACCATTCCAAATGCCCATGTGCAACTGGTGGATCAAGCAGTTACAGTGATTGTACTTGGTCTGCTTCAAGAACATAACTAGTCTACATTTATTGGTACTGATTATTTATTTTTTTATTTTTGCTTTGGTAATTATGGAATTAAATGTCATTCCTACATTTTCTTTGGGTTTTTCATTTGACCAATTAATAAATTCAAAATCTATTGCATTAATTTCTTAATGCATCAGCATGAAGTCCTTTCTAGATTCCCCCAGTATGACTCATGACTCATTATTCTGGAACCACCTTTGTATGATATTAGTGTAGCCCCAACAAAATAGCAGTTTCAGCTCTATTTATCTAATCTAAGCAATTTTATTCTGTCCAACTAAGCAATTTAGGCTAACATAATGAAACTTGTCTTTAACAGTCCTATGTCCCAAATTAAAATTACATGACCTTGTTAAAAAAAAATAAAAAAATGCTGAGTCTAAAATATCCCTAATTAAGAGTTAGGCAGCTGACCCACTAAACTAAGTATAGGTTCTGCATAGAAAAACTAGGGTACCGTTTGGTAGAGTTTTAGAATTATGATTTGAGAATAGAGTGTATTTTGAGTTTGTGAGTTTTGAAATTATAATTTGAGTGAGGAAAATTTGTTTGATTATGAGTTTTGAAGAGAGTTTTAAAAAGAGTTTTAAATTGAGTTTGAAAATTTTGATGTGATATATGATATTTTGATTCAAAAACTTACAACTCATAACCAAACACAAAACGCAAAATTCGATTCAAAACTCATATAAAAATTTAAAAAATTCCAAAAATATTTTTTATTTACAATATAAAAATAACATGTGCAAAAAAAAAAAAAAAAAATTTGTTCCGGTCTATAAAACACGGGTACGGGTACGAGTATTGATGCTGGTACGATACAGGTATGTTGATACACTAAAATCCAAAGAAAGTAGGGTACGAGTACGGCTTGGTACGCTTGTAAAAAAAAATATTTTTAATTTAGAGTAATGTAAAAATTAATTAAATGGTTTAATTTGTTCAGATCCAACCTATAATTAACATTTAATGCCAAAAATAAAGGTATGAATCAAAATTAAATGCCAATATATTAAATAACATACAAACTATAGTTTAATTTTAAATCATGTTAAGTATAAAATTAAAGATAAAATAAAAAAAAAGTTTAGGGAAAAGAGTTTTATCTTTGTAGTAGAAAAAAATATTGTTTCAACTGAGGTACGGTACGGCTTGAGTATATACTAGGTACGTCTGGGTACGCCAAAAAAATTGAGAAGAAAAAATTTGGGTTCGTTTTTTGTGTACCCGGTGCGTATGCAGTAGTACCATACGAGGTACCATACGTCGGTAAGTACTCAATACGGGTACAACATGTTTTTCGAAGTACCCATGCTTCATAGGTTCCGGTCAACCGGCCAGACGTCTGGGGGGATGACCGGGTAGATGAGTTTTCAAACGTGGGTGTGAAAATGATTTTTGAAAACTAAAACCAAATGTAGCATTCAAATCAGTGGGTGGAAAATTGATTACAAAGCCCCACCAAACACAGCCTAGATTTCTGACGGAAATAAAAGACGCAAAGTCCCAATGAGAGGACTATGGAGTGATTGTACTAAAGTGACCTTTTAGCTTGGTCTTCCTAAGATGTGCAGTGCCTGAATAACTTATCTACATCTGGTGCATCAGAAACTAGTAAAAAATACCTTAATCTTTTAGTTTCATAATGCAGTGATGGGTGTCAAAATGATGTTTAATATATTAGTAATGCTAGTGGTTAAATTTGTTGATGCAAATATCAAATGCTGTGAGATGTCCGATTCAATTTACTGTGTGATGAAATTGTCTATTGATTTTGTCAATCTCGATATTCTTTTTTGCAGGTATAAGGATGCATTGGGAGGCCTATGCGTAGTTATGATACTCTTCACGTGCTATGTCCTAACAGAAGTTCTACGAATTTCCAGTAGCACATGGTTAAGTACGTGGACAGATCAAAGCAGTTCAACGCGCTACGGGCCTGGTTTTTACAATCTGATTTACGCACTTCTATCATTTGGTCAAGTATGTCTTTCAGTCGGATGTTAATTTGTGTTATTTAGATTTCAAATTAATTGTCATTAAATTTCAATTGACCTGTCCTATGACTGTGACATCAACTCTAATGCTACTGTTTCTTGTATAACTTTGGTGCCTTGATTTAAAATTTTAATGCTGCAAAGAAGACATAATGTCATAGCTGATTATACATTTTTTGGATTCAGGTTATGGTGACTCTGGCAAATTCATTTTGGTTGATCACCTCAAGCCTTTATGCAGCAAAAAGATTGCATGATGCAATGCTTAATGCTATACTACGAGCTCCAATGGTCTTCTTTCACACAAATCCCCTTGGACGGATTATCAACAGATTTGCTAAGGATCTTGGTGACATAGATCGGAATGTTGCAGTGTTTGTGAATATGTTTCTGGGCCAAGTATCACAGCTCTTGTCAACATTTGTGTTGATAGGAATTGTGAGCACCATGTCCTTATGGGCGATACTGCCACTTCTACTTTTGTTTTATGCAGCCTATCTGTACTATCAGGTATGCAACAGTTATTATTTTATTTGTTTGTGTTTTTATGCTTTTCTGAGAACATAACCAGTTTTCACCTCATGCACCCATCAACAAATAGAAAAATAAATAAATAATCTCTACGGTTCGACCCTTGTAACAAATTAAACCCTAACTTCTTAAAATTTTCACTATAAACCTTGAATTGCTAAACTGATAAACCATCTGTTCATCTTTTAAAGTCACTAAAATAGGAAAATTTGCAATACATGTGGGATCATCTCATTCCCTCTTTCTAATTGATGCCTATCCCAACTTCAATTTAACTACTCCAAATCACAAACACCCTTTATGAACCATCTGAACCACCCATCTCAATCCTATCATACACCTAATTACATTGAATCAGCCCCACCTTACCCTTCCCTTACTCACCGTCGCTCCATCCCTTTCCCCTCACTCAATTTGACATATTCAAAGTTTCAAACCACTGCTAGTGCCGACCTATGAAGCATGGACAAGCCAAAATGGAAGCCGTGGGGGTGTCGGATACGGGACACGCCGGGGACACGCCGGAGACACGTACGGGACACTGCATTTGGCGTGTCTCCTTAATTTAATTTATTTTTTTACAGGGGATACGGAAGAGACATTGCGGGGACACGCGTGTCCAAATCTAGACACGCCATGGACACAGCGACACAGCAAGAAGAGTAAAATGAAAGGGAAAACGAGTACAAACCTAGTCAGCGATGATCCAGAGCCCCATTCGACTTTGCCGAGCTGTGTCTCTCGCCTTTGCCTTCTCAGATCTCTCTCTCTCTCTCGCCCCTTTGCCGTCTCGGAGCGCTCTCTCTCTCGCCTTTTTTCTCTCCCTCGCGATCGCGATCCTCTTTCTCCCTCGTGATCGCGATCGTCTCCCTCACTCTCGCTTCTGTCTTGCTTCTGTCTCCCTCTCCCTTTCCCTCTCCCTCTCCCTCGGTTCTCTTCCGTCTTTATCTTCTCGCCTTTTGATTCATCATATATAATATATATAACTATTATATAATAACTATTATATAATAGTTATTGATGTGTTGAAATTCACTAGGAGCATTTTTTAATCCAAATGGCATGACATTCCATTCATAATGACCAAACGGTGTAGTGAATGCAGTTTTGTATCTATCACTAGGATGAATTTGAATTTGCCAAAAATCACTTTTTAAATCAAATTTACTAAAAATAACAGCTTGACTAATATATAACAATAATAGTTATTATAATAGTTATTATATAACATATTATAAGATAATATATGCTTATACATATTAATAAATAAAAAAAAATAAACACATGAATGTAAAACAAAATAAAAAAATTAATTAAAATTAATTATTTAAAAAATATAATAAATAAATAAAATAATTAATATGTATTAAAATAAAAATATTTATTAAAAAATTAAAAAATTTGCCGTGTCCCCTGCCGTGTCCGTGTCCGTGCTTCATAGGTGCCGACAACACAAACCCATTCATCAATATATATTTATATATGTATCAACTCTGTCATAACCATATATCCCACCACAAAGTGAGATCGATTAGTAACTAGCCAATAGTCATAGACTGCTGAAGGCTTAACTAAACAGACATGTAGTGCTCCTGTAAAATCAAAATTTTGGATATAATTTGATCTGATAACTGAAGTCTTTAAATTCTTTAACCAATTATCCTACCCCATACATTTATAGATGGTGCATAAATAAGTGAGATGAAAACACTAAACTATCACCTATTGCAATTAGAAAGCAAAGTACATATTATCTTTCAAAGCCAACTATATACAATGATCTTGACATCACATTCTTCCTTTAGAAAGCCTAAAGTATGTCATTCTTCCTTCAGTTAAATAAACCCACATGCATATCGCAAAGGAGATCTCAAATATCTGCTACTAGTATACTTGCTATCTCCTATTTGCTGGGACTGACCAACGATGCCATTTATATACTTTCAAATGTAAATAACATAGGATATCCATTCATATCAAATATTTCAATGTAGTTCATAGCATAACATAATTTGAATTCTAAAATAGGGTTCAACACATAACTTTTCTGGAATACTACTCACCTCAAAGTTTATCGGCCTACATGAGTTTAAGCAATACATGTTGGTACACAATTCATTTCAACAAAATTAGAGCAATTTGATTCAATATGGAAATCCATTTCCTTAAACTAATTTGTTTAAGGTATATCTGTTAGATAGCTTGATTAGTTAGTTTTTCGGCCTATTTATGGTCTTGGTTTTGTGTGCGTTGCATCGTCTTGATGCTTTTTTTTAAATATAAAACTAGTTTATTTAAAAATAAAAATAAAAAAGAAAAGAAAAGAAAAAGAAAAAACCTGTTAGATAGCTGTATATACATTGTTGCGCCCATTTCCTAACAACTTAGTTTTTTGGGAAAATTGGTAACTTAACAATGCCAATGTTCGAAAATGTTGCTTATGTCCTTGCTTGTGTCTCAAAACATGTTAGAGTTAAATTGCGTTTGATTTGGAGTTGAATTGGATGAAGAAAAAGAGGTTGAATCCATTTTAGTTCAATTCGAATTGTGCATGCAGCATTGACTCCCTTTAGTAAAACGACCATATCTTTCACTACAAAAATTGAAATCAAGCTTCGTTTTATGTGTTAGAAACTAGATTCGTATATATGTTTATCAATGGTTTAGGCCGTACAATTTGTTTTTCCCAATTAAAACAGATTTGCACTCAAAGTTGACCTAAAATTGTTGTTTGTGCACACCATGGCATATCTTATTTGTACAGACTTGGATTTAGGGAAAAAATGGAGTCTAAAATAAATGGAATTTTGATGCGACACTGTTACCAATTAGAAACCGGGGTTATTTGCGGATCAAATCAGATCAGAACACTTTTTTCGGCCACCCATCACCTGAAATGATAAGGTCCGTTTGAAGAACATATCAACTGAACTCATCCAAATAGTATTTTGAAATGTCTTCAGGTTGCAAAATAAACTGTCAGCCTTCGGTTTGTATTGCTACTCTTCCATCTTCCTCAACTGAACAGAAACCATAAGGGAAGTAGAAGGGGGGTGGGGGGTTTTAGGGGTGGGAGGGGATGGGAGGGGATTAGGGTTTCGGGAGAAGAAGATAAGAGAGGGAGGGAAGGAAGAATCAGAGGGAGAGAATATATTGTTATCGGGGCTGCGATCTTAGAGCCATCTCCACCATCTCATATACAGGGCATCAGGGTTCAATATTGTTGTCTCCGCTATGAGCTTAGTGTCAGCACCATCTCATATTAGGTAGATACATAGAAGATATTGGTCCAAAAAAATAATGATACGGAGAAGATACAAAGTGAGGAGAGAGAGAGAGGAGACAAAAGGCTCTTTGTGAATGATAAACTGAGAAGCTCTTTAATCAAGAGCGGCATAATAAAAGAGGAGGAATGGCTCTGTAGGTGAAAACATACCTATGAAGCAATTCAAAATTCAAGTAATAAATGTTTACGGTCGGTCCGGTGTTTAATCAGGTCAAATATACCAAATCTGATGTTCTAACAAAGACTCAATTTTTTGAATGATAATAAAGTAGCGAAATCAACTGCGAGATGTTGGTTCAGTTTGGGTCGGTTGGTTTGACCGAGTTGTCTGATTTTTTGAACAGCCCTATTAGAAACTTAGCTTTTAGAGCTTTAATTTCGACTCTATTTTTTTTTTTTTTCAAATTTGAGTTTGTACCAAGGAGATATACCCATTTGATAATGAATGACTTTTTCTAGAAAATAATATATGCAGCTACCAATTTTCGGTCTTCTTTCAGTGCAAATTTATTTTAATTGAGAAAAAAATATTGAACTGGTCTCCATGGCATGCAACTTCACTTTACCAAATGGTCCAAAATATATGTCAAATTTGTCTCCTTATTGTGATTTGCCACTCAAAAATATGTTTTTGGTCCATATTTGTGTAATTTTTTTTTTGTTGTTGTGATTGTGTGAATTTGGTGTCCAATTTCTATTAAATTTATTTTTCGGTTGCAGAGGATGGGGGCCGGGGGTTACGGTAGTGGTGGAGCATGGGGTGAAGGGTTGTGGCAGTGGAGGAGGCGTGGGCTGCTTTCTTGGTGTTTTTGGTGGTGCAAGTGGAGCAGGGATAGGTAGGTAGCGTATTGATGGAGGGTTGGTGGAAGGTGGTGGCACATGAGGGATTGTGGTGCAGCAGATATGGTGTAGTGAAGTGGTGATACAGCGGATTATAAAAGAAAAATAGAAGAAGAAAAAGGGGTGTGAAGGATAGGAAGAGAGAGATTGGTCACGTGAAGATAGAGGAAGGAAAAGAGGGGAAGTAAGATTTTCCTCGTTAAGCAAGCTTAAGGATGGAGACAGAGGATTGCGATTGTTTTCAAGTCCAAAGATTAGCGTTTTATATTGAAAAAATTAAAAAATTAGTGTTAAATTTGTTACAAGGTCAAACTCTGGAGTTTTTGTTTTTATAATTTGCCCCTAAAAAATATTGTCTTGCTCATCATTTTCCAACCTTTTCCTAAATTACTACATCATACAACTTCTCTTGAAGCTTTTATTTCTTAAACTTTACCGTATTACCAGTTATCCCTTTCATCATTCTGATTTCCGCGCACTTGTAAATAAATTTGAACAAGGTTGTAGACTGCTTTCAATTTCATGGAGTGGCCTGGTAAGCTTGACCTTGTTAGACAGCGTGATATACATGTTGGGCCCATTTCTTAAGGCTGTGTTTGGTTGGGAGATTTGGAAATGGAAAGAGAAAGGGAAAGGGAAAAGGTGTGTGAAATTAGGTGAAACGTAGGTATATTTTATTCACATTTTACTTACTTTTTCCCTTTCCATTTTCCTTTCCAAATCCCCAACCAAACACAGCCTAATAGCTTAGGCTTTTGGAAAAATTGTTGACTTAACATGGCATCAGGACTCTGGTTAAGAGAGGTCTTGGGTTCAAGTCTCTCCGTTAGCATTTGGTACTATGTCTCCATTTGGTTTCTTCCTCTTTGTTGGTTGTTTGCTTCTTCTGTTTGGTTATCTATTTCTCTCCATGTACAAGACCGGGTTGCACATGAAGGTAGGTGTTAGATAGCTTGATATATATTGTTTGGCTCATTTCCTAACAGGTTGTTTTTGTGTATGTGTGTTTGTGTGAATAGAAGGTTTGATTTTGTCTTATTCAATTCACAGTTGTCACAAATGGCTATATGTGGTTTCTTCAAATGTGTGATTCATATGCTTTGGGACACCATCTGCTTACCATGTCTACAAGTTCAAATCACTAAGCCCTTGAAAATATTGCTTCTTTTTCTTCCACTTAAGCTTTTTCTTTTCTTGCAGAGTACATCCCGTGAGGTGAAGCGCTTAGATTCTATTACCAGATCTCCAGTGTATGCACAATTTGGAGAAGCATTGAACGGTCTGTCAACTATCCGTGCATACAAAGCATATGATCGAATGGCCAACATTAATGGGAAGTCCATGGACAACAATATCAGATACACTCTTGTGAACATGAGTGCAAACCGCTGGCTTGCAATCCGTCTGGAAACATTAGGAGGCCTCATGATTTGGCTTACAGCAACGTTTGCAGTCATGCAGAATGGAAGAGCAGACAACCAGGAGGCATTTGCTTCTACAATGGGTTTGCTTCTCAGTTATGCTTTAAATATTACAAGTTTATTAACTGGTGTGCTGAGACTTGCAAGTCTGGCCGAGAATAGTTTAAATGCTGTTGAGCGGGTTGGCACCTATATAGATTTGCCTTCTGAGGGTCCATCTATTATTGAGGGCAATCGTCCCCCTCCTGGGTGGCCTTCCTCAGGATCCATTAAATTTGAGAATGTTGTCCTCCGTTATAGACCTGAACTTCCTCCAGTCTTGCATGGTTTGTCCTTCACAGTACCTCCAAGTGACAAAGTGGGAATAGTTGGGAGAACTGGGGCTGGGAAATCTAGCATGCTCAACTCTTTATTTAGGATTGTAGAACTGGAAAGCGGTAGAATCTTGATTGATGGCTATGATATTGCAAAGTTTGGATTGACAGATCTCCGCAAGGTTCTTGGTATAATACCACAAGCACCTGTTCTGTTTTCAGGTATGACTCTCATCAATTGTGAGTTCATTGGAATAGTTACCATTTGTAGTTAGTCAACCTTCTGAATTTTTCTGTGTAACTTGATTTGATATGGTATCAACTTCTCTATCATTGTACTTGATATGGTTTCCTTTTGAATATGTGTTAATCTTAGTAGGAACTGTAGTATTTTGATGGCTCTAGGCACTCATCAACTAAGCTTGAAATTTGATTCTGTTACTGATTTTTTATTGTTATGCAATGCAACCAAAGTGACAGTTATACTTGGTTGGGAACATGAGGGCGGAGGTTTCTGGAAACTTGGTGTCCGGAAGTATCCAGATCCCATGGATGTCTATACATGCATGAATATATACATGTCATGTATCATGTGTCTGTCCATATTAATAGTTAAAAAATAATATGACATGAAGCACGAGTGAGAAACTTTGAAAAATATTAAGGTCAATATATTAAGAGTCCGGTACAGGTGCCTTGGATTTTCCTTCCAACTTTATGGGAGTGGATTGGAATTGAATTAGCTCCAACTTTGTCAAATTTTGGATTGAGAACAAGGGGCCACCTGTTTTGGAGGATTGTGTTTGTGAACTATAATATCTTACTGTAGTACCTTACGTGAAAACTCGAAAGGAAGAAAAGACAATATATATAGATATAAATATAATAAAACCTTATATGTCAACTTCTTCACACCTTCTCTAGTATTCTGCTAACCTCTCTATTTGCATTGTCTGTATGTGTTTTGCCTTAGAGATCACCTGTGATTCTTTTGCATTTATTGTGATGAGAAAAGGTTTGATACCCCTTGTGTTGGCATCATTCTAAGAGATTGGTGAAGAACCTTCTATCATCTTTGCTTCCTCAAATAAAATGAAGCCTATAAACTATTGAGTAGTTTGTATTGATCTTTAGTTACTCCTTAGGTCAAAGCATCCATGCCAAATTATTTATTCCATATAAGTTTCCTTGACAATTGATTTTTAAAATATATATATATATATATATCTTTCCAAGTCATTATGATTTTACAAAAATGTTTAAATGATGATTCCTGTATTTTATATGTGATCTTTTTTTCTTTTTTTTTTTTAAATTTGTTCAGGAACTGTGAGATTTAATCTTGATCCTTTCAGCGAACACAATGATGCTGACCTTTGGGAGGCTTTAGAAAGGGCACACCTGAAAGATGTCATCAGGAGGAATTCTTTGGGGCTGGAAGCTGAGGTATATGCTCATATATTTGCTTCACTGAAGCTTTATAATTTTTGGTTCGGTGTGGCAAATTTCTTCTCAATAGTTATCCATCCATGAATGATGTTAATTGACATGTCCAGATTCTATTGTCTTTCGGTTGTTATGAACTACTGATGAAGTTGCGAAGACATTCTTTCCTTGGAGGTTATGGAGAATTTCTTTGCTTGAAAGTTACAGTTGTCAATTGCGGTGGTTTCTTGATATTTAGTTTCCATTTTTGGTCCATCCTTTGCTCTCTACTTGTATGTCATTTGTACACTGTTCGGTAGGGTGGATGAATGGAAGGAAAGATTGAAGAGAAGAGGAGGAAAGCAACGTTTTTTTAAGGGCGAATTACACTAGCAGTTCTTATAGTTTGGGGTCATGTTACTTTGGTTCCTGACTTTTCAATTGTGACACATGTGACCCTGAATTTTGAATCTTATTCCAAATAAGGACAATTGAAAATATTATCGCTTAATTTCAAGCGCAAAATGTTAAAATTTATCACCTACTTCACCCACTTAAACCTACTCCACTAAACCTAACCCACTACACCCACTTAAACCTACTCCACTAAATCTAACCCACTACACCACTACCACCTCACCTACTCCACTAAACCTAACCCACTACACCACTACCACCTCCACTACACCTACTTCTTACCTACTACACACTCACCCTCTTCTATATATAGGAATCATGAATCATTGTAATATAACACAAATCAATCAATAATACAATTTATTCTCTTTCTCTCTATCAATATTTCTTACATGGTATCAGAGCTATAAGATTTAGGCCTATATTCCTTTCTTTCCGGCGGGCAGCCGGCATCAATTTGATAAAATATAAACTAATTTGATAAAAATAAATGTCAAAAAAATATTTTTAAATTTTAAAAAATTATTTCTACCCACAAAAGATAAAATTATGTAAAATTGATAAATTTTTTAAATATTTATTTATTTATTTATTTTTACCAAATTAATTTTTATTATGTGTTTGGATGATGATTATGTAATAAGTGGTTGTTCGAATTTTAATGTGTAATCGATATATTTAATATATAAAATGTTTTTAGTTTTGGATTTTTTGATTTAATAGATTGGTTTGATAATGATATCAAATTTGTCGCCATATTTGACTTTTGATAAAATAGAAACTAATTTAATGAAAATAAAAATGACCACCCATTACATGATCATCATCCAAACACATAATAAAAATTAATTTGGTAAAATAAATAAATAAATAAATGTCTAAAAGATATATCAATTTTACATAATTTTATCTTTAGTATGTAGAAATAATTTTTAAAAATTCAAAAATATTTTTTTGACATTTATTTTTTTCAAATTAGTTTATATTTTATCAAATTGACGATTTTGACCTTGAAATTAAGTAATGGTATCTTCAATTGTCCTTATTTGGAACAAGATTCAAATTTAGGATCAAATGTATCATAATTGAAAATCAAGAATCAAAGTGATACAAGTCTCAAACTATAGGGACCGTAAGTGTAATTTTGTCCTTTTTTTAACCTTTGAAAAGTATTCTTTACTATGCAAGAAGATAGTTGTGAAAGCATACATCACTTCTTTCTTTCCTTGCTAAACCAAACCAAGCCAAACCAAAAAATGGGTAGGCAGCTTCCTTAGAGTTACCTTTTCCATCCCCTTTCCCTTTCTTCCATGGTGAGTCAGCAGCTGGAAGTATATTCTTTTAATTGTTCAGCTGAATTATTCTAGAGGAAGAACTTATGCTTGAGTAGTCCATGGATTTCCTTGTTTTCTCATTAGACCTCATGGATCTACTGTTGGGGACTGAAAGTCATTCTTGTCTAATGCATAATGTAGACCACAGAAGGTGCACTATTTTCTGTGCCTCCCCCTTTTTTTGGGTAATCCTTGATTCTTTTTGCTAAGTTTGGTCTGTTGGAGTTGGGCATTTATTTCAATAATATCTTATATCTTCTACACAGTTGGGAATTTTATGTGGCATTATATATTTTACACTTTTTTTTTTTTTATTTATTTCCTAATAGATGATAGTCTTTGATGTGCTCAATCCTATGTATAGATATTTTATAATTCAGATATCCGTGAGAAATAAGGATGCATGCGGAAGAGAAGTGTTTACTAGGCAATGTTTGGTTTGTTAAAAAATTATTTTCAAGCTCCTGATAATTGTTATTCTTTGTTTAAAAGAAACTTTAGTCAAGTGAGTTAAGCATTTGTTTGGGACCTATGCTCATCTTGATTGAGAGTGTTAGAGATAATAAACATTCAACCCTATCGTTAGGTGCTGGAATATCTAGTAATTTTCATTTTTTGTATTTACTTCCAATATTTTTAATGAAATACTCCAGATCTAGAATGATTTAATTTTGCTGATACCTGCCACTGTGTTTTGCATCTCTGCATCTATTTTCATGGGTTAGTCTTGACTGGAAAAATAGCACAAGCAAGTTATTGATAAACAAATATAGGGGCATTACTCAATGCTAGTCCTGCAAGTGTTGGATGTTGGGAGAAGTAGACTGTTACGAATAAATCCTCAGTATTATTTGCGCAAAGTGGTTGCCATTGAACTCAAGTTTGAGTTCTCATGCTTGGCAGCTTGAGCTTTTAGGATTGGGCCAGGTAATGACCCCTTGTTAACAATATTAACAGAGATAGTCTTCGATATGCTTTTCACTCAAATGTTTTGAAAACAGCTTCTTCCTTTAATTTTCAAAACTCGTTTGTATATAATAAGATGCAGCAAAAAGAATTTGGATGAAATATGTTTGATTAAGACAGGATTTATTTTAGCGTAGTTAAATTGTTTCTCTTATTAATTTGGATATGAACTGATCGATCATGTTGAAAAACTTTTGCTAAACTTAATTTCATCATCAATTTAGCACTAAAAATACTGATCATAGATCATGATCAGTATAGTTTACATGGATTTATTAGACAATAAATGCAGGTCAGCTATATATAAACTCTTATGCTTCAAAACTTCAAAGAAATTTCAACTTTTAACTGGACTAATTCTCATTGTGGTGTGTCCAGGTCTCAGAGGCAGGGGAAAATTTCAGTGTTGGACAGAGGCAGCTGTTAAGTCTTGCTCGTGCATTGCTTCGCAGATCAAAGATTCTTGTTCTTGACGAAGCAACTGCTGCTGTTGATGTTAGAACTGATGCTCTTATTCAGAAGACAATTCGAGAAGAATTCAAATCATGTACAATGCTCATTATTGCACACCGTCTTAATACCATCATTGACTGTGACCGAATTATTCTGCTCGAAGCTGGTCGGGTATGTTTTACTTCGTCGTTCCCTCGCATTGTCTTGGAAGTTTACCCAATTTAGATTCACATTATGGTATCCATCAAAAGACTTATAAATTGATGATTGATCTTTGGTTTAGTGTGACTCTGTTGATTTGTTATTTGTGTTTCTGTGCCTTATGTCCAGGTTCTAGAATATGCAACCCCTGAGGAGCTGCTGCAAAATGATGAGAGTGCTTTCTCTAAGATGGTTCAGAGTACTGGTGCTGCAAATGCTCAGTATTTGCGCAGCTTAGTACTCAGTGGGGAAGGAGAGAACAAAGTGGAGAGAGAAGAGAGCTGGCAATCAGATGGGCAGAGAAGATGGCTTGCCTCTTCTCGTTGGGCTGCAGCTGCCCAGTATGCTCTTGCTGTCAGCCTCACTTCGTCGCAGAATGACCTTATACAGTTGGAAATTGCAGATGAGAGCAATATTCTCACAAAAACAAAAGATGCAGTTATAACTCTGCAGGGAGTTTTGGAGGGGAAGCATGACAAGGTCATTGAAGAGACCCTTAATCAGTACCAGGTTCCTAGCGATAGATGGTGGTCATCTCTCTACAAAATGGTTGAAGGTACAAATTAAATATCCTCAGATACATTAACCATTTTAGTAAAACCTTAGAAATAATATTTATTTTCCTGGTGCTATTAAAAATTGAAATTGAGAATTTACTGAATAACTTTTTAATGATTTTTCCTGACTAAAATTTGTTTTTATTTATGTTTAGGTCTTGCAGTGATGAGCAGGCTGGCTCGAAACAGGCTATTTGAAGATAGAACAATTGACTGGGACCGTGTTGACTTGTAGAGAGAGAGAGAGAGAAAGAAGTACCTCGCTCGTTCCAAGTTGCAACATTTTGATATTTAATTATAAACTGCTTGCACCTTCCTTTTCAAAGATTGTACTGCTATTGCATGCTCTACCCTCTGATTTAGAATAACATAATGTCCAGTTGTGCAGTAAATTGGTTCGTTAGTCTGGGTAGTCAGTGATGTCTGATTGGCAGTGCTGTTTTTGAACTCTAATTCACTGCCTTTACAAAGCTGCTTGGATTCATTCCCAAATGGGAAATTTAACATTGGTACGAGTAGTTTTTTATTGAGTTTATTATTCAAGGAGGTTTGCAGATTTTGAGGGTAAAAACTTGAGTGGACAGAGACAGGATGAGCAAAATAAAAGCTTTTTTGGAATGTATGGGAAGCAGATTTCATTAGACGTATAATGTTGTAGTTGGAGAGAGAGAGAGAGAGAGAAAGAGGGTCCATGCAAGTTTTGCATTCTTCATATAATGAGCTATTGCAGGCAGGACATTAACTCTTACAACTTTGATTATTATCACAGCCTTGAAGAAGGCTTGATTGTGCTACAAGCTGACATTTAATTTTTGCATGACTGAATGGTGATATCCTGAAGCTTATTTTTTGTTAAGCAAAATTGAGATGAAAATATAGAGTTGGTGAAGCAAAATAAAATGTAATAGAGTATGCCAACTCTCTCCCTCTCTCTCTCTCTCTCTCTCTCTCTCTGTGTCTATACATATATATATATATATATATATATATTACTTCGAAATATTTCAGTATGTATAGAATAACAATATGAGATTGGGGATTATGTATTGATTTTTGGCTTAGTATGTATATATATACTATGCGCAATTGGTTAATAAAAAAGGAATACAAGTCAGTTACTCCTCATTAAAAACAATTCAAACAACATTTTTGCAAATCAGTCAATTAAACAATTTTGAAATCGAATCTCATGAGTTGTACAACTAAAATTCCTTAATGCTCTGACATTCTGTGCTTGAGACGACAACTGGTATTGATACTGACAAATGATAGAATCTGAATGAGATAGTGTTGAACTTCGATGTGATGATGCCTATGTATCTTGAATATGGCAACCAAGCCATTCGTAATTAAGGAAAGGTTCACTTGGGTGTTAACTCTCTTCTGTTGTGCTCTTTACTTTTGCCAAAGTTGCTTTTTTAGGTTTTCAACCTCGTGAGATTTCATTATTTTATTTTTCATTTTTCATGTTCTAAATTTTGCTTGGGCCACCTTTTCGAATTTTCAGCTCAACGAGCTCTCTCACGGGTAATATTTCTTCAATTTGTCTAAGTTAACAGCTTGCATGGATTCTATCCCATCCAAATCCATCAAAATGATTGCTGATTCTGTCATGATCTTCTCGATAATGTACAGTCCTATCCAGTTTAGCTTGAATTTTTCTCAGGGTTCATGTATAGAAGCTCGGTTCTCCATGAGCACTAAATCTCCCTCTTTCAGATTCCTAGCCTTTATTTTCTTGTTGAATGCTCAAGCAATCATGCGCTGATAACCTTGAACATGATACAAGATTGAAGTCTTCTCTCGTTGAATAGTATCTGTTCTTCAAATTTGCTTTTTTGCCACTCAGGCCTTATTTGGGGAGTAATAGTTTTAGCATAAAAGTTAAAAAGTTACTAAAAAAATCAAAAAGCCTATAACCTATACCAAAAAGTCAAAAAAAAAAAATTCTCTCTACTTTTTGCACATCTTTTCGTAAAAAAATTAAAAAGTCATTCTAAATATATAAATTTTTTTACTTTATATTTTAGCCTAAAAGTTACTAAAATAGCCTGTTCCCAAACGACGTCTCACCCTATTTAATTGGACATTCAAGCAACACTCGCAGTGAAGGGATTTTGATTTTGATAGGTAGGATAGCTTCCATTCCATAGATTAAGGAATAGAGAGAGTTGCCCCAGTTCAAGTTCTAATTGATGTCTAATATCCCCAAAGTGTGAATGGCAACTTGTCTGGCCAGTCTTTGTATTTGTCAATCATCTTTTGCAGAATGTTCTTAACGTTCTTATTTGTAGCTTCAACGGCTCCATTAGTTTGCGGTTGGTAAAGTGATGACTTATGAAGAGTCACCTTGTATTTTTCAAGCAAATCAGTCACTTCTCCTTTGAAATGGGAACCGTGATCTCACATTATCTCATTTGGCACTCTATATCTATTGATGATGTTGTTTCTGATTAATTTTGCCATATGCGAGGCTTTAAGAACTGAGTAAGATGTTGCTTCGACCATTTGGTGAAATAGTCGATGGCAACCAGGATGTACTCATGTCCATTTGATCCGTTTGGCATGACTACCTCGATTACATCGATGCCCTAGACAGAGAAGGACCAAGGTGATGTCAAGTTATGTAACTATGACGGTGGTATGTTCATGAGGTTGGCGTAAATCTGATAAATAGTACCCTTATCAAAGAATCTTCCTTACTAACATCACTCCATTTACATGAGCCCAATATTCTCCACATGCACGACTTCCGTGATCTTTTTCCCTTCTTCTGCATGCACGCATAACTTTTACATTCCCAGGCATCCTCTCTTGTACAACTTTTCTCCACTCTCTTGTCCTTTTATGTTGCTCCTTGAGGATAGGCATCCTTTTCTATGAAGTTCCATATGTCATAATACCATGGATATCCTTCTTGAATTTCTTCGAATGTGGCGATCATTGCATAAGCAGGTTCATATCTTTGTTCAATGATGATAGGCTCATTCAGACTCCTTTAAGAATGTCAACCATAAAGGCCAAGGTAGCCAAGGCATCAGCAAACCAGATGTTCTCTCTTAGCATGTGGTGAAGGTAATTTTCACAAATCTTGGTAGCAGACAATCTAGAGTTTGATGGTAAACTTTCATCATCTCTTCCTTAACCTTCCAATCTCCCCTAGTTCCAATCTTCCCTAGCTTGTGAGACTACTAAATTTGAGACACTTATGACATCCAACTACTTTGCCCCTAGTTCAAGGGCTGCTTCTAATATGGCAATACATGCCTCATACTCGACTTGATTGTTGGAAACTTCGAAGTGGAGCTTGAAAATCAAAGGCACATGGGATTCATTGAGGGCTATGAGAAGGACCCCTATTTCATAGTGCATTTGGTTCAAAGCTCTGTCAAATAATAGCCTCCTATTTCCTCAACTAGTTGCATGATTTCTTCATTTAGAAACATGAACTTTGAGTAGTCTTCTCGATTAACTGGTCGATTGGCCACGAATTTTGCCATTGCTCTGGCTTTTACTGATTTTTTGGTTCTGTGCTTGAGGTCAAACTCAGCCAGAAATAGCAACTAACGTGCTAAACTACCAGTTAGTGCTGGTTTCTCAAAGAGATACTTAATAGGGTCTAATTTTGAAACTAACACCATTAAGTGGGCAAGCAAGTAGTGTCATAACTTTCTAGTGGCCCACACTAGTGCGAGACAGGTCTTCTCTAGTGATGTGTACCGGACTTCATAGTCTAACATTTTCTTGCTAATATAGTAAATGGTCTTTTCTATCTTCGATTTTGATTCTTGTGCTAGCATACATCCCATGGTCAAATTTGTCACTGTTAAGTACAAAATTAGGAGTTTTTTGGGTTTCTGTGGTAACAATATTGGTGGAGTTTGAAGGTAGTGTTTGATATGTTTGAATGCAAACTAACATCTACCGTTCCATTGAAATTGGTTCCCTTTTTCAAAATCTTAAACAGTGGTTCACAATCAATGTCAATTTTGAAATGAATCAACTTAAGAATTGCATTTTGCCTGAAAAGCTTCTCACCTCATTTTCAGTCTTTAGTGGAGGCATTTCTAAGATAGCTTTGATTTTGGACGGATCTACCTCTATTCGTCTTTGTGTAATCAAGAACCCCAACAGCTTTCCAACAATTACCCCAAATGTGCATTTCTAAAGATTCAACCTTAGTTTGTACTCACGGATTCTCTCGAAGAACTTTTCTAGTGCACTGTAGTGACTTCCCTTTCTTTGGATTTGATGATCATGTCGTCCACATATACCTCGACCTCTTTGTGGAATATATTGTGCGGTAGCATAATCATAGCACTAGGTAGCCCCAACATTCTTCAACCCAAAATGGCATAACTCTATAGCAGTTCATGCTCCAAGGCATTGTGAAAGTTGTTTTCTCTCTGTCTTCTAGTGCCATCATAATTGGATTATACCCTAAAATCCATCCATGAATGATAGGAGCCCATGTCCTACTGTGAAGTTTACTAACTCATTGATGTGAGTAGTGGAAAATCATTCTTCAGTCTAGCCTTGTTCAAATCCCTAAAGTCAATACAAACCCTAATTCTACCAGTTTTGTTGGGAACCGAAACTATGTTTGTTAACCATGTTGGATATTTTAACACTAATAGAAACCCGACATTGATTTGTTTAGTGACTTTTTCTTTAATTGTAAGTGCCCTATCAGGGTGAACTCTCCTTAGTTCCTGCTTTACTGGCTTAGTCTCAAGTTTTAAAGGGATTCTATGTTGTATAATCTGAAGATCAATTCCAAGCATGTCTTTGTAGGACCATGCAAAATCATCTTTGAATTCTTTTAAAAGAGCAACTAGGCGCTTGTGTTCCTATGAAGAAAGTGTGGAACCAATATGGACCATGCGAAGATTTTCCTCATTGCCTAGGTTTATTCACACAATCTCATCCATTACAGGTTTAACTCATCTTTCCTCCTCCCATTCAATTAAATCTTTTATACTTTGAGGAATTTCTTTCTCGAAATCAAATTTTCCATTTTCATTTTCGAAATCTATGGGATCAACACAATTAACTATTGGCATCGCAAAGTACTCAGAATCACTAGCCATATTATTGATTAAAGGGATGATTACATCCGACTCAAACTCAAAATAAACAAAAAAAACTTAGACTCCACCTTTACTCCTGGATTTATAAGCTCTAGGTCACTTGATTTAGAAGACGCATTGGAATCTAACAGGTGAAATTCTGACTCACTACTAGACTCACTATCATATTCATAACCACGACATTTTCCACAGTCCAATTTTGAAGTTAGGGGGTTTATATTTGAGTTCATACTTTCTGCCTTCTCTCTTTGCTCATGCTCTGTCTTTCGCTATCAAGTCTTCCCTTGTCGCTTGATAACCTAGTCCAAAAGTGAATAGATGGCCACTAACTTCTATTACTTTCGCAACCCCTTGTTTGTCATTCTTTCGTAGACCAAGACTAGGGATACACCTTCACTTGTTCATCATTAGAATAAAAGGTGAACTAACATATTTATCCTTCTTATTAACCACAATGGATTGTACCAATTGGGCTTCAGCCAGAGTGAAGCCAAAAATGAAAATGTCTTCATCTCCACATTGGATTTTGAGTAATGGGGTAGTCACATCTG